CACACTGCTCAGAGCTCGCCATTGTCTAATGCGTTTGCGAAGGCAAAAGGCACTCATACCGAGAAGTCGCCGCGCTAGCCCTTCGTTAAGCCGCTGCGTTAGCATAGCAAGACTTGGTCTCGCATCAATTCCCTTGTTCGGGATTGCTCTGAAAACCAGTTAAAATTATTACACACTGCACGCTATTAAAAGTAAGTTCAGAAAACGAAAAAAACGAAAAGTGATTTTTTTATCAATAATCGAACATGAAAGTGTAGGTCCGCCCTTTAAGAGTGTTTTAACACACTCTTTTTAGAAGGACAAAACACAAAACGACCAAATGCCAGGCGCGCAAATTCTTCGTGCAGTTTATTTAGGCGCATTCCAGTGGTGCTGTAATCTAACTCACAGATTTTTTCTGCTCATCGCTGCTGCAAATGCATGACTGATTGTGCTCTAACCTTCATACTCCGTAGCGGCACAGCCTTATACTTTGAAGGTATACACCCTTTTAAGCAGCATAGTTTAATTGCGTTTGCAAAGCGATTAGACGAAACAAACTGAAACTGATCCGCAGAATGAGGCAGAGGTGCAGGTGCGTTTAAAAAGATGGGTGTGCGGAAGGCTCGTGGTCGATTACTTAACAAACGAAATAGCCATGATTTACTCTCTTGGTAAGATTGGGGCCGGCGTGCATTGTGAGTTCTACGGCGGAGGTGGATGCTGTTTTTCACAGTGAAAAATTCAATGAAGTCACATGTTGGTGGATGACTCAGCATGTGAAAGCATTGAGGTGTCGCATGGTTGCACGTTTCCACTGCATGGTGGCAAGTGTAATGATGTCAGCGTGAAGGCAAGTTCTCCATTCGGTGCCACAAACAGATTGCTGGTGTAGATAACATAATTTTTGTCTTATCCAATGGACTGTGTTAAAGAAATTTGCCCAAGTGATTATACTAATCATTTGGGGTGAAAGGTCACACTATAATGCCATAAATAATTGTAGTTAGGTACAGTTTTCAAATTCAGATTTTCAATGGCCTTACCGTTCGTCTAAATTATGGGATAAGCCATGATTTTCTCATAAATAGATAGACTACTTAATTTATAGCTGCTTTATTTCTAGATATGGTTTCATTAAACAATTGTAACAGTCAAGTAATGTACGTAAAACTTTCAAGGCTAAAGCCTTTAGGCGTTAAGACAATAGGTAGATTCTTCAAGAGGTTTAATAATACGTGTACAACTAGAGACACATGATTGTAAACTGACTGCGTGTCCTTCTTTGGTTTATCTTGTTTTGCATATATTCTGCATACAAAATGCCGAATTACGTGTCTTTGTGCATTTGCCTGAGCGTCTCTGCCACAATAACGCTAATTTGCTTGTGGACGGATGCATGAGGTAGACTTGCGAGCCGAAGAAAGAAATGCTGTCTGGCTTCGAGGTTTGACTGGTTTTACCAGCATTGTCTCGTGGGTTAGTTCATTTTTTTCCTAAAATCACTACATAAAATGATAGACTACCATTTACTCGGCTACTGACCATTTGGCTATTTGGTTCAGGAATAAAAAATATGATTTCAATGAAGCTTTTACGATTTAACGAATTCCGGTAAAAGTATCAGACCAGGCAGTTCAAGGCGTGACTTTGGGCATTTAGCATTCATCGTTCGTTTGCTGATACGTCGAACAGTAATATTTGACTGGCAGAAGTTTTTAGCGTTGGGAAAACCCACAACCCTAGTTAGGTGTCACTTGCATACTAAGGGCGTCAGCAATCGAAGCCCTTTCAATTAACTGATAAAAAGGCTTCAATTTCGGGCGGCCGATTTTGTTGGTGTGCTCTTTACTTCTTGCCAGAGGAATTAAGCCACTTTTACATTCCAACTGAAGAGTCATAAGCGCTATAAGACCTAGGTAATGACTCAATGTTTTTCGAATCCACTTTTAAGATTTGTCATGCATTCATTACTATTTATAACTCATTAGTAGCTTTTGCCACAGCAAATGCGTATTTTATTCCCGTCAAATTAATACCGGCAAGAAACTGAGTACACAGGAAAATTAATCACAAAACGTATGCTTCAATATAAAGTATTTTAGCCATCAGCATAGCTGCGTCGGCATAATGGAAAAACTTGACTTTCATGACCAATATTTGTGGATTACGATTCAGAATACCGGTCCACTTTGACGCGTTTGTGCTTGAGAGACTGTAAAAGATGAGGTGTCAGTTACACCAATGATTGTAGATACGTTTTTTTAATCAGAGTTTACTGTTGTAACTTTTAGTGGTAAGCCACATGCCGTCCATATCGCACGTAATCCATTGGAATATTTCTGAAAGGAAAGACGCAAATTATTTCAAATATTTTCTACAAAATTTTATGCACCCATAATACAGAAGTTAAAACGTGAGAAAAAAGTTACTTTACTGCCATAGTGTAGAAGTCCCATTTAAGACGGTAAGGAAAGCATCAACACTGACTTTACCAGAATAAGGATGAGTTTGAATGATATCATTCGTAGAAAAATTGGGTCAGACTTGATAGTCTTCTTCAGTTTACGAGTGTGTAGCCGCGTTTTGATTCAAAGTACTTGTGCAATTTGCGTTTAGGTCATAGCAAATTAGGTTATTACGCATAAAAAATCAAATTAAAGAAAGGCACCTAAAATGCAAAATCTTTTTACAATCACATTGCTCTGAGGCATCCTAAATCATGGAATACCTTTAATTGATTGATGCCCGTGAGCAACCCTCAAAAACGACCCTGTCATTTATCATAATTGCATAGTACAATTGTGCATATTTTACTTTGAAAGGAAAGGGGAAGTCCATTAGTAAACCAACCTCGTAAAACCTAATTGTTAATACAAAAATGAAAAACCCCAAACTAAACTGCATAAATAGTATTATGACAGATCTTTTTAATGTCTAGCTTTATAGCTGCGGCTGTCTGTCTTATTGCATTTACCTACTGCTTAAAGTAGAGCCCGCAATACTGCCATCCCTGAACATGCTAGACATTCAAACAGGTGGGTTTGACTTGAAGATTGATAAGTAGTTTTACAGGTTTGGTTATCATACTCTGCAGTTCAGCGTTGACTATGGTCACTGGAATGGCCGGGGCCTGTGGATCAATTACACTCAAAAGAGGGCCTCTTCTATTGGTGAGTTATTGCATTTCAGATGAGAAAATTTATAAAGAAGTCCGAATAATGTTATCGAATTGAACCCAAAATATTAACTGGCCTAACAAAAAACAAAGCCGTGTGCCACATTTAACATATTTAAATGGAATATGGAATGGGGATCAAATGCATGAAATCAAATATAAATCGATAAAAAGTTAAAAAAGGTTATCTTAGGCTGAGAAAACTGTTTCATATGTTGAAGGTAAACAAAGATTTTGCTAAAACATTGTGCTTTGACAAATGAAAGAGTAATTTTATGATAGAGGTAAGAATGTACGCCCAGAGGGCTTAGTTCCAATAATTTCTGCTCTTATATTGCCAGCATTGCTGCATAACAACAGTGGAATGCCTCGGATATCTTGCTGCCGGAACAGTTGCTCTTCGAAGTCGAGTAACGGTAATGGGAAACGAAAGGGAGACATTTTGCAGAGGGCGAACACTTTACTAATAATTGACATTGTTAATTTTAGATTGGATCTCGTTTGGAAATGGCCTTTAACGAAATACTCAAAGACTACTTTGACCCAAAAGCATCCGATGAAATTGTCCACAAATTGCACACAATTCAGGCAGTCGTATGAAAAATGTGGCAGATTTCTCATTAAATTAATTTTAAATTTTAGTTGCGCTGCTGTGGGAAAAACGGAGGGCAGGATTTTATACAAATGGAAAGACCTCATCCATGTGGTAGAGCAGTTTCGCAATACGTAAGGAACTTTCTAGCAATGCCAGAAACATCTGGGAGAATATGTTTATGCAAAATGTTCTCATTAAGCAGAACAAACGGTTATTTGTTTTATCGAACGTTTTCTAAGAAAAATGTGAATAAAAATTCGGAATGACAATCACAAAAAACGCTAAGTAGAAGAACCGTCAAACAGAAAGGTCTGACAAATGGGATTTAATAAAATCAAACCAGACAGATCTATGTGGCAACATTTAATTTTGTTCTTCAAAAAGTTAAAAATGTGTCATTAGACGAATAAAACTGATCACGCCTCTGCACAGCTTGCGGTATTTTTTTTTTCTGCTTTTCCTAGCAATGGTGGAGAGAGGAGTATTTAATTCTACCTAGGGTTGCCTTAGGGCAGCGCTCAATCTCATGGCCACCGAACTCTTCCACCAATCTTGCGTGGGACTCACGGGCGCATTTTTGTTGGTATGACACGCTGTAATCACTATCTCAGAAGCCATCGATGGTATTATTTGTTAGAACATTTGGCTGCACCTTTCTATAGTTATTTTCACTTTTCTCAGCCGCCTCGTTAATGACGTCACTTCACAAAGATTCATAATCGAACTTCAGCGATTATCTCACTGACCTTCGAGTCTCATGTGAAAGAAAATTTACAACTTCTAACGTAAAAGGAATCAGTTTTCAAAATTACCCGCTTTTCCTGTGCAAATTTACAAGATGTAGGAAGTTCTAAAAGTAAAATATTAAATGAATGCGCCGATATATGTCAAACTTACTGTATTGTCCAATGACTTGGCAATATCCGCTGCTGTATTCTTTTTCTAAAGAAACGCAAATAAAACAGACCCTTCATTTTTGCTGTTCTGATCTGCTTGAATGTCTTATAAATTTGAAATTGCCATTGAGCTTTTGAATTTGTTGGGGTATAAAAACGCCTTTCAAGAAAGTAGGAATAGGTGAAAAGTTATATTTCAGTAAACACCATTGGTGATTTAAAGTAGATGCACTTTATACAAGATTTAACTGATCAAATTTAAGTGTTCACATCTCGTCTGCTCTTGTCAATTTCATGCGCATGGAAAAGGCTATAACTAGCTAAGAAGTGATAGAACATGTTTGTTGAATGTAACGTTGACACAAAAATAAACCAAAAATTATCTTTAATAAATCAAAGGCACATGCCTTTGAATAGCTTTTCAATCCCTCATGTATCCGTAAGTCCATTTTCCTTTGCAAGTGAATTTTTTAGGACAGATAGAAAGCATTATTATAGAACATTATCAGAAAAGGTAGAGAAACTTTTTTACATTGTTACGAATAGAAAGGTCAGCTCCGTGTTGAAGAAGGACTTTTGCCAAATCCGTGTGGTTTCGATGAAAGGCACAGTGAATCAATGCTGTCTGTCCGAATTTGTCTTGTTGGTTCACTTTAGCCCCACACTCTATCAGGGTGTCACCAACTTTGGGATTACCATTGTTAGCTAAACAGGCTAGCATAAAAAGCCACCTTATATTTGTTTGCTGGCATTAAGATTTCTGAATTTAATAACCGGGGACAGGACGTTGAGTCACTTTAACAATTTCTTAAACATGTTTCTAAAATAAACTGCTCTGAAGGAAATAAAAATGGGATGGTGCCTAACTAAAAAGACACTCATTACATTCTTGTTCTAGGAAGCACCTTTGCCAATTTTATAAATTTACAAATGACAGTCAAATTTTTACCGTGGCGAGTGTAAGGGTGAGGGGAGGAGGGGCAACGGTGACCTACCCAAACGAATGAGGGGTGTGTATCCATTGTCCGACTCACAGTGGTTCACATCTGCTCCGGCGCGCACTAACGCTCGAACCACGTTGCTAAACTCGCCGTCCACTGCGTAGAACAGCGCCGTCATCCCATGAATATCCTATTAATTATAAGTCAGTGCACCTCTCCATTATAATTTTTTAAAGCCCTTTGTAAATTCTCACATACTGGGACAGGATGAAATATATTAGTAAATCAACAGCACTTTGAAATCATTAAAACATTCAGCAATGAGATGCATGTGGTTATCCTTCTGGCACATTCATAATATCTGCTGCGTTATTTGCAATTAATAGTTCCAAATTAATCCTTTTTTTGAAAAGAGAATTTTATGGCAAAAATACTAAATCACTAGTTTTAGCAATGATGTAGGTGTTGGAAGAAAATAATGGTTAAATGGAAATCAACACATACGAATGTAAAAGCACTTCATTTTACTGAGTCGTTAAAGAGTTGCCAATTGTCATGCTAGTGGTAAGGGTCAAAAACTTCAGATGTACTTTATTTTATAATTGCTAACCTGAAAATGAGTTAAATACAACATAACAAGTGGTGTTTTTTATATTGCACAACACGTGGAATAGAGAAAGGTTGTGAAGAGTTATCCCACTTGTTTATAATGAAGCGCGAAACGGTGGACTCATCACGTGGTGACAAAAAGTGGTGGAATCACCATATAGTGAAATAATAAAACAAACCACTTAAAATAAAACTCCATCCTAAAGTATTTAAGTGGTAAAGCGCATCACTTTAGGAAAATGGTAGGATGAAATTATGGCATGAAATCCCCATACAAAGGAAGACAAGTTTCATATAACTTGGATTTTACTTACTCTAGCATTTACATTGACACCCTTCTTAATCAAAATGTCAACAATATCGATATAACCTTTGTTTGAAGCCAACATCAGAGCTGTTCGACCAAGTTTGTTTGCTGTGTTGACGTTCGCCCCATAGCTCAGAAGAATTCGAATAATACTAGATGCCGAAAATAGCAATTGCTGGGATGTCAAAATGCTTTTAATCTGTTCCTTTTTGGGGGCTTAAAAGTGTTAAGTGTTAAGTGATAGCAGGAATAAAAGCTTATATACCCCAAAAAAAAATTCAGATGATTTACCAGCATTAACACTAACTAAACCTTGTTAAGAAAACACGACCGCTTACGCCTTGTTATTTCGACTGACGGCGGCCATCAAAGGAGTGTAATCCATTTGGTCTGTGAATTCTATCTTGGCATTGCTGAAGTAACGTCAAACAGAAAAGTGTTAACGAAAACCCACACTAGTTAATGGAGTGCAAGGTGGTACTATCGAATGCTGTGAGCAACTCATTAGAAACCTTCCAGCATTTGCTCCACTTAATTTAATTAAATGATTCACATGTATGCACTTGTCAAGTGAGTTCATGTAATTTTAATGCATATAATTGTAGAATTACACCGAAAATTCAATGCTGTTGCCCGCACACTATACCTTGTGCAACACACCTCTATTATTTGTAGTTCAGTTTGCAATCCTTAAGGATGTTCCATCAAATAAGAATTTATTCTCCCACTAAACAGCCCAAGCCGAATTTTGATTTACGTAATCACCGTAAATGCTTCAACAGGGATTTGTAAATGATTGATCAATGTGATAAGTTCTCTTTTCAAACAACTGGATATAATTTTGGTGACAAGCTTTGCAAATATTTAAGATCTGCAAACTGAGTCATCAATAAATGGGGAGGAAACTGCCTTTTCTACATGCCATTAGTGAAAGCCAGAAAAAATTATGAAATTGTGATGTCTACTAATGGCAGCAGTTTTGTGGATTATAAGGCTTATAGCATTTCTCATCGAATATTGACACCTTAAACCGGTGCTAAAATGGTGTGGCACGTTTTATGTGAGGGATGTTTTGCAATAATCATGACTCACTGCAAAAATGATAGAACAGCGTCAGAAAGAAATACAATGAAACAAAATAATACCTTAAAATGAGAGGTGTTAAACTCGGTATCAACCAAATTCATCAATAGGGTTTGCCGTAATGCGGATATTTTGACCTATTTAGGCTTGCCTAATTCAAAACAGAATGCCAACTAGTATGGCTATGCGAATTCCTGAGAGCAATGTAGCCTAACATGTGCTCACATAAATAGCTTACCTCTCAGAAAGCATCGCATTCAAGGCATCGATATCCTCAAATTTAATTGCTTTGTGTAGATCAAAAGCAGTTACTGGCTCAGAGGGGGTTTCAAACAATTCCGAACTCCCATAGGGTCCATAATTGTCATCACACTTAAATCGCAGTCGCATTTCATATTCAGTCGACCCCTGCAGATCTTCATAAATACAATAGCTGCCTTTCCCTCTTGATACACAACAAAAATTAAATCAAAAGTTTAAGCTTACAAATAAATTCGATCCCAGTTTTTTGAGCTGACAGGCTTTAATGTCACTTCCATCGCAACATTCATGCCCTGGTCTTCCAATTCTTCCAAGCACTCATACCAGTCTATTTTAACCGTATGAAAATCTGGGACACTGATGTAGGGAAAAGGGGGATACAACTCCGCTACATCTATTGCTTTCATTTAAAATAACACATGAATGTCGTATCCACCGCACACATGTGGAAACAGTTTAAAATGTAGCCTATTGATTCCAGCTTGCTGCTTCAATCGTGCTTTTGGAGTAGTGTTAGGCGTTAAAGAGATGCGTTTTCCACCGCATTTTTTCAAAAGTGATTGATGTCACTATTTTTAAAATTACACGATCTGACCCAAGACCAGAGGAGAATCAAGAGTCATATGTGATATTATGTGACATGGAGAGATTTATTTTAAAATAATATTCGACGAGATGATTTTGTCAAAAAAGTGAGGGATGTCCTACAATCCTACCTTATGCGACAAGTCATATCTGCTAATGGAATTCGTCTAATGACAAGTGAGTATAACATTATTAATAGAGGATGGATGTGGAATCATTGATAGCCGTCTCCGCGTTTGATCTTTAGAACCAAGCGTTTCTGCTGCCTTTGATTGCAATATATGCGTTTTGCAGTAGTATATAGGGATTGTCAGCAGAGTATTTAACCATATTATATTCATTTTGTTCATTACATAGGAACTTTCACATTATAATACTCTCTTCTAAGTTATTCGGTTATGATAAACAGTTATCATTACTTAAAGGGTTTGTAGACACTGCGTCTGTCAATATGCAAAAGATCTTAAAGAGACATTTGCTTTAATAAGCACGTTGTTCCGCATCAATAAATCCATCATAATGCTGCCAATAATTCAGTGTTTATTTTCAAGTGCAAATAATTCCCACAACGCATGTAGAAATTATCTTTAAAACTTTTTATAACGGAGATACATTAAAGAACTTGCTGGAGATTTTAAGGACATGAAAATAACTACATTAGACTTAGCATTCCCGCCATAGGGCTGTTTGTGAATGAGTGTCAGCTAAGCCATGCATTCTTTGGTGCCATTTTGTCAGTCTGCAGCGCACAGGTTCCTGTGTGCTCATAACTCCGCGGATTTCCCCCACAGGAAGATCGATTAATGAACAAATTCACCCGTACCATATGGGCACCAGTGCATTTAAAAATGCATAAAAGGCTAGTTATTTATGTTGCAAAATATTCTAAATCGGGGTTAGTTACTTGTAAGGTTTTATTCCAGCATATTAGTTGTATTGACTCCATATTTCGGAACCCTAGAGAACTACAAGCGCCCACTGTGAAACAGAATTAATCGCCAAGATAGTAAGACTTAAAAAAAAACAGTAGTTGTTGGTCATCGTGCCAGATAACAAAAAACCCAGCACAATTTTGTTGAGTCATAAGAAATTATTGATAGACATCAAGATGAGGACAGAGGGACACAATCCAGATTGTCTCGTTTAGTGGTTGGATTGAGTATGTTCGGCTTGATGATACTTCACCTTAAAATGCTTGTCATCATATTTGTTGTAATTCACCAATAAATATTTTAATTTTATTCACACATCCCACTTTGTAGATAATTGCACAAGATACAAATGATATTTTATCCTGTTCCCCAATATTCAGACATCTAAACGCTCACTTAGGCGATATGCTATAGCCATTCCATAAATTGATTCAGATGTGTGTTCGACTACTCAAGTACTTTACTCCACACAAGCTAGACTTCCACTCAAAGGTTTGGTGTTTAAGTTATGTTAATAACTTTCCAGCTCTTCTGCACATTATTAACATATTCTTCCACAATACCACGGCTTGTAGTGAATTCAGGGGAGGCTCACTTGCATAAATGAGGAAGCTAAAGTGTTTGGAATCTGCCAACTTCTAGACTTTTGTAATTCTCGATAAATCGTATTCTGACCAATTATTACAGACAAAAAATATGGTGAAACCTTGGTTTTTTAAGTGCACCTCACCAGCTTGACTCCGTAGGCATCTTTTCATTCTTATTCCGAACAGCAACACAATGCGAGTAATAACATCAGCTTTCGAACAAATTACACGACTTCATCAGAGACTTCTATCTCGGTCTACCAGAATTATATTCCTAAAAGAGTATCAGCAGAAGCAATTTAATTTCAACCAGCGCTTCGTCAGCACACAGCAACATTTTGAAGTACCCATGAGAAAGATCCCATTTGTAAATGACTAATTAGGCAGCCCATAAAACTCTAACTCACTTTTTTTTTACAACAACAAGCCCTAGAACTTAGGTCAAACATCACCGTTTTTTAGAGCTATGCACCAAAAGTCCTTACCAAACAATATTATTTTATTCATTTATGGTGAAGACGTTAATTTATCGATTTAGTAAAATAATGTAGATCTCTGAATTTACGTCAAATTAAAATTAAATAGGGTAGATTTTTCTCAATAATGGAATGGCTTTGCAATATGCGGTGAAACACAAATTTTAACCAAGAACATTTATGACTCCATATTTTGAAGTATAAAATTGGAAAATTTTCCTAAGACTAAAACAATTTAGTTAATGAGGAACACTAGCATCATCCTCTTAGAAGGATTTTGCAACCTACATAAAACTTGCTAGGTTTGCTATTAAAAACTTTGTGAGAAGGGCATGATTGTGTAACTTACAAGACTTATCTGGCCTTCTACTAGATGATTGACAAGCTAACTGCACATGTTTTTTCAGTGGCAATTCCTTGGATTAGGGACTTTCTCGTAGACTTCTCCTTTACTATGGGTCATCTGTATTGGTAACGGTTGCAATGAAGGTAGTGTATTTTCTTGTATTTTACCCAAGCATTCAGAAAACCAAGCGGTTTTGCAATAGTTTATTTCAAATAATATCAACTGATAAAAGCAATCCCAAATAAGAGCTTCATGCAAAAATCTATTATAATGAGAGTTTTGCATCCTCATATTCTTTTTTGCCGATGCTTACTGAGTGCCAGGGGAATTGGAACACGCTTAAAGTTTTGACAAATGAAAGATCCAAACAAAGTGTATAGACTAGGGTGTGTTGAAAAGTGCTATCAAAAGGAAGAGAAACACAGAGAATACAGGTCTCAGTTACTGCACCCTACTAATTTGGAGGGATGGACCACGTAAATGTTTGTGACGGTGACCATGGTATGAAGGGTGCAAACTACGTGTTCTCTGGGTGACTTCAGAGACACTATTGCTCACAAAACTGGTGCCGCTTTCATTGCTATTCCAACTACTGGAAGAGACGATTCTACTACATTTACTTAGGCTACTTGTTGAAGAGGAAAAGCGATGCGATAAAATGGTCGTCGTAAAAGGATGCGAGACTCCAAAACTGTAAAGACTGGTGATACTCTTTCGCGAAGCTGATATTCTCATCAACGAGAAACTGGAAAGATCCACCGAAGATGACCGCACAATATCTCTTTTGTTCCCTCTTCGCCTTTGATTTACCTTAGAAGCTTGACCATCATGATTTCGTGGTTTTGATTTGTCCCGCTCTTTAGATTCACTAGAAGAATAGGAGCTTGATATGCTTAAGGAAACTTTGTGTAGTCCTCCTACGTGATTCGCAGATTTGATTTTATTCTGGCGAATCCATTTATTGAAAGAAGAATTCGATGAAACAGACAATTTTCTTCGGTGCAGTGAACCTTGACGATTCTGCATTGTGGACTGATTTTGGCGCCTTATATCGTGTGACCTAAAAGAACTGGAGGAGAAGGATTTTCTAGTACTTTTATGTTTTTTACGACTCCTCAGATTCGACTTTTTACGACGTCCCCAGCTGTGTGATTTGGGAGATCCAGACGAAGAAGATCTTTTGGGATACCTTTGGCTCATTCGATTATCCGATTCCAATTTTTGCTGATCTAGAGCTGTGGATAGGCTTAGCGAAGAGGAGGACGATTTCCTGCGCTGATTTATCATTTCTGTGCCCCGCGATATCAACGGCTTCTTTTGAACTTGAGAGGTCTGTTGTTGATGTATAGATACAGAGGGTGGAGAAGTTCCTCGTGAGATAAATAACACACTCCAAGAACTTGTTGTGATTACTGCCTCGATTCTCGATGTTTCCGTGTTGTAAGGATGTTGCAAATCCGTATGCACCTTCGGTTTGGTTGATAAGGTGCTCACTAATTTGCTACGATTGATAGGACTGTGGGCAATGCTGCGATTTAAGGGCTGTTGTTTCGTAGAAATAGGAGATGATTGGTGTGACAGAACAGGAGAGGGCGATATTGGAAGTGCAGCAGTACCATTTGGCTCCCGTTGTGTTACCAGAGTGTCATGCACTGTTTGTCTAGTTTGAGTCGTACTTCTGCTCACCATCACCTTCGAATTCTTGCCCTTTACTAGAGACATAAAATTCTTACATTCATCTTCTGTGGAGAATTTCAGCACGACCAAGATTCCAACTTTCTTCTTTTCCACTCTTACCACACAAACTTTCAAATCAGCATTGAACTGGCGCATTTCCACGATATCTTTGTAAGGAATTTTTGGTACCACTTTCTCCCCACCAGTTGGCTTAAAAATAACCTTACTTTTCCCAATCGTGGCAATTTGGGCGTCTGTAACTGATCCACTTTGTGGGGCGAGCTCCTCCATCATTAACTGTGACGGTTCTTCGCCGCCTACTTTGTAACTTTTTGTGGCTGAGCAAAGGCATTTGACCTCCGCTTGCGCCTTTTTCTTCTTTTTGACTCCTCCAGCCATTTATCAACTGCACCCTGGAAGTCCCGTCGGTTATCCAACAATTTATTTGTGCACATGTACGTGGATGGAAACCATTTATGTGTATGCCCTTAGAGTGCACAAATGAAAACCGTGAAAGTTGATGCAGGTCAGCGATTGGCTATTGCTATAACTTAAGCAAATCCTAATAAAATATGTGCTCGTATAGGCGTCGGGTCATTGATTGAATTCGCTTTTTTCTGCTTCGACACACGCTTCTTCATTGCAAGTAACTTAACACCACTTCCATTTATTTCTCATATTTTATTTTAAGGTTAGCTAAAAGTGGATAGGAAATAACTTGCAGATTGTTAAAAAACGTCAAGCAATAAAACTGGAAAACTTGATAAATTTGAGCTGCAAACACCCGATTCTGGATACTTGAAACGTGGTACTCAGCTATTGATTCATTAAAAACTTAAATAAGGAAGTCTAGAAATAAGACCAACGTTTACTAGAAATGAACCAGCGATTAGTTAGGAGTAATATTTGAAATAAAATAGAATTTAAGTAGTAGGGCCTCTTATGATGATATTGAAGGAAGAATCTAAGTAGAGAGAAATAAATGTAATGTTCCTCGCGTATGACAAAATTACCACTTCAAAGGTGCGGCATGATGTGAAACCTGAACTACAAAGTTGATACTTTGATAGGGTCTAGTTTAAAATTAGCTTGATATCAGATTTACATAGCATTGTGGTATTTGTTTTATTAACAACACAAGATTCTCATTTACCTTTTTCACTTTCCCCTGGTGTCGTGGCTTGCCTACCATGTTTACAACCTTGCGGACCTTCTGTACGATGGTGAAAATCTTTTTCGTATTGATAAGGCGAGTTGAGTTCTTAAGGAAGACTCAAGGTACAGAACTTAATGTCCGAAAATATTAGGTTTGAAGTAACTATCAAAAACATCAAGGGTTTGTTTTAAGCATTGTATAATTGATCGATCGTGCTCATTATTGCATCAATTGCCTAAGATGGCTTCTTTACAAGATTAATTACTAAGCATCCAAACGTAGCTCAACATGGAAGTATAAAACAACATAACGATTTTATAATTCAATCCAAATAGAAAATGTGGTTTAGCCGTATAGAAGACGTCTAAGATGCCAAGTAAAGTGATTAATGGGACACTCATTCCTTTATTTCATGAAATTCGCGAACAAAACACAAATATTTACCTCATAGGTAGTACCGGGTAATGGAGCGAAAGCACGGTGGTCTAAGGCTATAAGGTGAGCACTTGGGAATAAGTACGTTATGCGGTATAATACTTGGGTGTCAAATTTCTCGTTTAATCAATCACTGTTGTAACGACCTTGAGACCATTTTCAATATTCTGCGCAATAGCATGTTTGGTGTCGGAAACAGTTGCTTGCACGCGGACGTGCAAAATAATAACATCAAAAGTCTTTTAAGAAATTTGGCTGCTGGTATGTCTACATTTTGTCCTATTTGTAAAAGGTGCCGATGTGGATTGTCAGAACCATCAGGGTGATACACCCTTGATGTTGGCATGTAACTCTGCAGATACAAAATGTGCAAAAATTCTTATTTCTTTTGGTGCAAATACCGAAAAGTAAGTTAAAACAGCTTTTTAAGCCGTAGAACTAATAAATTTGGACGGTCAGCTCTTCATATTGCGGCTAGTAATGGAAATTTGGATATGTTTACTCTGTTGCTGACCAATGGAGCCAAATACGACAAACACGATTGTGCAGGAAAAACACCATTTGAAGTGCTTTTGGAAAAGCTTTCAAAATCGCTTATCAAAGCGCACTTCAAAAAGGCACGGGTATCTTCATCCTTTTTAAAATTTCTTCGTCATTACAAAAACAACAATCAATTCAGAGAATCCTGGCATATGCCCCGAAATACTTCCTTACTAGAAAATTGTAAGCAGCAAACTAAATTTGAATGTATGGAAGACAAACGGGTAATTTCTTTTCCTAACGTTCAATTTGAGAGAATCTCAATGAACTTATAACTAATTTACCCATTGTTTTACGAACCGAATTACGGCAAGCGGGTACAGTACCATACGTAGTCTCCAAAAGGCAACTTTTTGTCATGAAAAAGTAAGTCATCCGCATAAGTTAAAGAACTTTCAAGCATGGTGTGGAATCAAACACCAGTGTCAGTTCGCAGTGTTCCAAAAGAGTTGTCTAGTCAGATTTCCCGAAATTTGAAATTATTTGAATGCTCTCTACAATACGCCTACAAGGAGATGCTATGGCTTAGGTAAAAGGATCTAAAAGTAACGATAATTTCTGTATGCTGTCATGCCTACTTATCATGTTATTTGTTTCAGTCGGCTGCGACACCCCAATATCATTTTGCTACTTGGTGTCACGCGTCCATTGTCACATCGTCAGGTCCCCAGTTTAGTTTTTGAACGGATTTACACTGGGTGTCTGCATACCATGCTTACGAAAGAGGTACGACACGTATGTAATTTAATCACATACTTGGATTCAAGTCTATTTTGTAGTATTCTTAACTTTATAAGACCAAAATTACTATTTTTAAGATTTGTTCCACTTGAATGCTGAAGCAGTGGACCTACCATTTATTCCCTATCAGACAGATCACAAGTATTTATTATTTAGAATAAACTAGATCTTTTTACGTCACACATGCTGTGCTTTTAAGGATATAAACAAATAAATCAATGCCTGAATTGATTGTTGCTTATTTAGATTATTACTAAGCAAATGGGCCTAGAAAATGAAGGCAAATTTGTTAGTTGAGGGAATGCATTATTAGTAAGAGAAATAATACCTGCAACTAAGATTTAATAAGTGCGCAAGATCTGCATTATCTTCTATTAAAAACCGTTTTTAATCTATATGGAATTGATGCTCAACACACCAACACTTCACTGTAAGGTAACCCTTTTAGCACAGCCAATTGGGCACATTGGATCGTCTGACGGTGCTTCGACAGATAATTGAGGCACTCATTTATCTGAAAAATCTCGGCATCGTTCACACTACAGTTAGTTCTTACTCCATCTATCTAGCAGATCGTGACCATGCCAAGTTAGCCAATTTTGAGCACGCACTATTGTGGCGGTATGTCCTCTTTCTTATCTCACATTTTAAAAACTTTGGGTACAAAAAGTAATTTACTGTTGCTTAAAGCATTACAGTACTGCAAAAGCTATTGAGGCGGTTAAAAGGGAATAAATGGATTCTTTTGGATTAAAGGCATTCTAGGCTATTTTATCAAAAATTAACGTGCAATGACGTTTTGTGTAAGTTTTTTCTTCTAAAGTGAATGTTTTTAGGTAGGTTAGGCTCATTACCCTTGACTGCAATTGATATGTAATTTGTTAATCTAGGATAAAATTATAAAGTTCGGTACGAAATTTAAAAGGAGCACATGATTGTCAATTTCTACTTTAGGATTTGCTATCTGAGATGAATTAAATTAATGGTTAAACTCAAATTTGTTACTGATGGGATATTTTGAGAGCCAATAACAGCATCAAATAGGAATTTGTCGCCAGCATTTAAGTTACAGAAAGATGGCTCAGGTCAAAGATGAAGGCCTAGAGTCGCACCTTAAGAGCTACTTCTTTTTTGAGTGAGTGGTGCGAGGAAAGTGGAAGGAGGACGGTGGGACCGAGACTATCAGAGGAGGAGATCGTATGCCTTGGGGCTTGGCTGGCTCCGGAGGTGGCACTACTCAATCGGTCATTAGGGCTTGAGGTAGAGATTGGGACACAGATGGTGCCTCATCGTGCTAGGAGTGGTAGCGGTGGGGACTCTGCCTATCGCAGCATCTTTGGCAGCGGTGGCGCCGGTAGTGATGAATACTGCGTACCCACTCCTGCGACGGATACCTTTGGCGTTGCCAGGGTAATGCAGGAGCTCTTCGAGCCACGCTGCGCCCACCGCTTTTACGGATCCACTCTTATCACCAGCAGAGGAAAGTCAATAGGGATGTTAGTGGGGGCAGAAGAGAAAAAACTGCAGTTCCATTTGCGCCCTGCGATTAAGAAGGCCCTTCGACGCGAGTCTGCTGAAAGGGGCGAAGTCGAAGATCTACATATTGCCATTGAACGAGCTTTTTGGGTAAGCTTCCCGGAGTTATTTATCTTCTACAATAAAGTGCTTTTTTCATTTTAGAAGCCTTGTTTGAACAAACATTTTGTTCAACGGGTTGAATGATTAAATTCATTTTGATTTGTAAATTACATTTTCAGCCCTAAAGCCGTGAAACACAGTACTTCTGAAGCGGCGTTTATGCTCTTATTTAGCTTTGTTGTAGTGTAAATACTTTTTGAAACGCCCATTAGATAAAGCGAATCAGCTTGAACTCTGACTTGTTTTATAAGCAGGTGTGGGTGGCAGAGCTTTCGCGAGGGAATATTGTCAATGTTCTTGATGGTACGCATAGATAAACAGAGGTCACATTGTGAAGGGAGTTGGGCTTCATATTCATTATAGTTTTTAATATCACTAGGGAAATTTAAACTGCGGGGATTCAGTGGTCCTTTTGATTTCGATTTTTCTTAATTGGGTAATTGAGCCACCGGAGCGTGGGATTGTAATCCAGGTAAAATCGATTTATTGACTTCTCTTTGCGCGGTCTGCCACGTGCTGCATGCGAAAAAAAACCGATGATAATATTAAACCTCCTTAAAGCGATATGTTTTCTTTTGATTGCAATAAGTCATTTTTCTTCGCATTAGCTTATGCTAACTGCTTTCTATGAAGAGAAAGTATGGAAAATCAAATGAGGATATTTGGTCTGCTTAGGACCTTCATGACAGACAGGAACCTTTGCAGTTTCGAGGACAGATAGGTGCGAGAAGCTGGTGCGAAGGCAATGTAATCCACACTGACACCACCACTATCTCCTCCTTAAGCGAGGAAGCCTTGCTTTATCCAGGTGATCGGGTTAGTTAACTGAGAGCGTGCATTTCCTCTTTTTAGTTTCAAGCAGAAAAAATGAACCCAAACTGAACTTTTTAATGTTATTTTGCCATTATCATAAGAAAAAGTACAAAGTATTGCACATTTTAGCTGTCAGAAAGTGAGAAGGAGAATCAGAGTGGGGTGCTACATGAAGAGGGGCGCTCAATCACTACTTATGAATCAGCGGGACCAAACTAGTGAGCCTACATAATTTACTTATTTTTAAGTAAATAATTTAAGAAATATAATAATGAATAATTCTTCCTATCTTACAGTTTAAAGGCTTTTAAACACACCATGAAGTCTGGAGGGGATTCAACCAATAAAGCCGTATTAAAGAAAGCTCAGTTCAGTATTATGCCCGGATCTTCAGGTATAACTTGGTGCACTTACGTAGAAATCCTTTTTAATGCTTGGCTGTTGGGAATGGGTGTTATCTATGACCCTAGGGTAAAACATGTTTTGAATGTTAGTGAAAGCTAAAAAGACTTCACTTCTAAGCAATCATTTACCTTTATGCCTTTTAATAGCTGTTGGAAAAAGGGCGAAGTAGACATAAGATAAGTAAAGCAGGTTAAATATGACCGTATTCGAGTTCACAAACATGTACATTGATTAAGTGCGTTTGATAAGGGCAAAGGGGTAGTGGATCTCGGTTCTTTTATGGTACTTAATAGCTTAAAACTACAATAAACCGAAAAACTAGTCCCAAATTTTCTTTAATTAGCTTATTTGGGTGTAAATTAACCACTCATTTTAAACTTCTATTAGCAGTTCTTCTTTATTTAACCATAAACTTTGATACATCGCTATGATTGCCAAAGTTTTATTTCGATCGATAAAGTGGGCGGTGATGAGGTTAAATCGGGGGAACAAAGGCAACTGAATTTCAGTAGCCCGATTTTAATGAGGCAACTGACAAACTTTGAGGAGAAGAGGGTCCCCAAAGGACAATCGACAAGTCTCACGAAGGAGCAGTACATCGAAATGGTCGCAATCCCCTGCAGTCCACTAGGTCCGGGTCGATCGCGGCCCCTCGTACCCTGGCGAAGCCCTTCTGCTCCAGTTTACCTTCCCCACTCTCCCAAAACCGCTACCTCTTCTATGTCTTCCTCATCGTCCCCCCTGATGTCCAACTCTGAACTCGTTTCTGGACGGAATTCTGTGGTCAACGGAGCAGGAAAATGGGTCAAGATTGTTGGTGGTAGCCATGATAGGTCATCACAGCACGACAACCCCCGTTCTAACTCAAGGCACTTTTGGTCAATCCTGTCGAGGAGATTTCAAAGAGAGTACACGTCAATGTATGCGAACGGTAAATTATTTGTTGATTTATCTGTGCTACTGGAAATAATAAGTGGAAATGTTACTTTCGTGTAGGAAATCGAAAAAAGCTCCAATCAAACCGGCCTCCCATTTAACCACTCCCCCAATGGTGCCCGATTGTGCTGTGAAAAAGCAGAGAGTAAGGTTGAGAGGAGTTTTCCTTTTGGGAGATTCGTCTTTTGGAACAGCTGCTTCGTCAAATAAGAGCTTGTCGACTTGCTGGAAGTTTTTACCTGAAGAGAGTCTTCCATCACCACCACAAACCCAACCATCCTCTCCCATGAGGCCACATAATGAAGTAAGACCAAACTTAGGGCCATGATATTTGCGTTATGCAAGTATTGATTAGAATTTTAATGTACATTCAACGTTTTATTGTCTGACATCAAAGGAATTTGCATTAATTAATACGTTTTGTACAGTACGCAATGCAGATATACCATAACTCTTAGGGAAACCACCACAGTGAATTACTGGAACCCTACAAAATTCAGTGTTGAAGTCTAAAAATCTTCCGACTGCTGAAATTGGTTATAATTTGGAAAGCAACAGCATGTTCACGAGGCATTATAGATTGTCTAAGGTTTGGTATTCGGACTGATCAGAAAGTATCAAGCTAATTCTTCATCATCGTCTTTTCATAGATTTAATTATTTTACATTCGGGTCTTAAGTCATTAACGGAAATTGGCAAGGTGGAGGGCAATACGTCTATCCAAATGGTTAAGTTTCTATACGCAAAAATTTGGGTAATTTGTTAAAATTAAAGACTCAGCGCGTGCGAATGAATAAATTTGGAGCAAGAGAATTGCGTTAGTTGAATAAACAAAGTTATTTTGATGTGGGTACTTAAAATATGCTTTTAAATGCATGAAGGTTTAATAATGTGGGGTCTAACAACATGCTGAGATACCCTACTGAGGCACTGTTGCGCTGTTTTTAGTGTACATAGATTTGCTGGAAGATACCGAAATTTTGCTTTCAGATAAGCGATAAAACAACTTCGACAAGTCATACTCGTGCACTTCTTTCCTCATCGCCCTTTCTTAAATCGGATCCAGAGATGCCTTTGCGAGAGCAGCACTTGTCTGATGTGGACACAAAGTATGTAAAAATTTGTCAAGAGGCACATAACACCACGACATCAAACGTGATGAGGCGAGTCAGGGGACAAATTGAAGGTATGTGTTTTCAGAAAACAGGTGAGCAATGCAATCAACCCCGTTAGGCTGACTTCTTGATTCTGTAATACTTTCTGACATGAATAAATCATGCCCGTTAATGTAACAATAAAACCTGGCTATAGGACTGAAATATCATTTAATTATTTTGTCAAATATATTACAGTTTTTAGAAATAATGCGCGTCTAAACACCTTTACTTTTGCTAAGCACATTATAACAACAACACTGCCCCCTGTTTTCAAATGTAGTGTTTTTAATATATAAAAACGCTAGAAGAAACAATGCGGTAAGAGTCTATTAAATAGGTGTTCAAATATTCCAAGAATATGCAGCAAAATAATTGTGTTGCGCACTTTTTATTTGACCTAGGTTTAAAGGAAAATCTACTATAAGAGCATGGTAGTCTGTACAAATTTTGTTGAAATGAATCTGGACATGGTTAAAAAAATCAGTTGCTTGGGGTTTATAAGTGCAACATTTAGTTGCACCCCACCGTCTAACTCTAACCGGATTGAAACTAACCTTCAGTTAGTGATTTGGCTTCAAAACTAATAGTGCAATAAAATTTACAATCGGTTCCAGAGGAATAGCAGTCAATTATACGAGGATTTCGCTTATCACATTAGTCTTTTCTTACCTTTCAGGGGAGGCGGCGAAGGTGACCTAGTGGAGAACAGTTACACACTGACGCGGTTCTTCATCCTCTTAATAATTCTATGTGTACCGATTAGGCATTATTTTTATAAAAAATTGTAGTTAGCAACGATCGGTCTTCAGTCCTATTTACTGTCTTACGGAACAGTGGGTTATTAGTAATGAAACGAAAGTAATCAGGAAAGCTCTCATGCAAATCGAATTGTGCATTAAATTGAGGATGCTCTGCAGAAATCGACAAATGCATACAACAAATTACGGCTCCATGCTAAAAGGATCAGAATGCAACAAGGCCGATACTTTAGCAGCAACCTTCCAAAAGGAGCTTTAATCATATAGCGGCCACTTGGTTTAAATGTAGCATTGGATTTGTATCAAATAAAGCAAATGAAGGGAGGGAGGTTATTACGCTGACATTCAAAACTATTTCAGTAGGTAAGGCTTGGCAACTTTAGAAACTGATTTGATGCAAAAATTTAAGTGCAGGACATATCCAGTGTGATGTTAAATTTTCTGCCTTTGATTGGTGGATAGAGCAGAAGATGTAGCATTACCTGCATCCCGCATTTAGACTATAAGGCAATAGATTTGGCCACTTAAATAAGTATTTATAAATAGAAATTTTTCAAAAGTCACTTCTTGGAGGTTAAGAGAAATAGATGAGAAATATTCACTGAAAATTTTCATTCTTTGATTACGGTTTGGCGAAATTGGTTTAAATTCCTGCCATCATATGGGTCTCAATTATTTCATGCTAAATTAAAAATTGTTAATCTGTTTTGTGGGTCGTGATGTTTTTTATAGCAAACACGCATCATAATCTCAAAGTCGGTAAAATTATGGCCATTTAACGTGCAATTATGGAGTACCTATCTGAAAATGGTACTCTCTAACACGCATTCACCCGTCCACGTGGTTTCTTAAGCACACACAAAGGGAGCGCGTGAATCGAAATCACGAGGTGAAATATGTTTGACCTTCTAGGTGGAAAAGGCACAGAGTTCAGGTGAAAGCTGAAGCGATACCCTCCGCATACACGTGTGTGTACCATTTCCTCCGTCTCCATCACCTCGAATGAAGGTGGTCCAGGTGCGGTCTGCACTTTTTCTCTGCTCTTTCTTTAGCCTCACCACCACAGTGCATGCAACACTTCTTCGCTAAGCAAGGGATGGACACGAGGAGAAGGCGCTCCAGTCGTGAGTTCTTTCGCATTCATTATATCTTCACTACCTACATCTGTCTCCACTAACCTGCCATATCATGCAGATTTTATAAACAGCAAACTACTGACTTCCCTCCCTTATGATAAGTATGGCATGTGAATGAGAATTTGAAATGCTATTAGTGCAAGCTGGATTACAGTTGTGAGGTTTGGAAATATACCATTACACTACAGGCCAGCCATAATTTAAGTCAACGAAAGCATTCTTTTGTTTTAGTCTAAGTGAGTGTTAATAAAACGGAATACGGTGGTGCATCTAATATATAAGGTTAATTAGTTTAAGTCATCTGGTGGGTTTACGCAGAACACAGGATAGATAATTTATCACAACATTTACATGAGCTCACCGCAGATTTACCATCGTAAAGAATAGTCATTTGAGAGTACGTGAAAATTGCGATGAATAAAGGTTCAATGTGCACATTTGGGTTCATTTTTTGTGTGATCTTATGTCTTCAACATGCATTTTGGTGTTTTTTATTTAAATAGTGAATCAAACAGTGGGATCGCCGGTAGCTATGTCCATTGGTTCTTTTACCTTTACCCCAAATATACTTCAAAGTTATTTGTTTCACTTTGTTTAGACCACTAATTAAAAAGGTTAGTGACGTAGTAACTCTTATAATAATGTCGGCTTCGCTGGTCAGTCCTACCGTGTCCCACGGTTGACGCCCAAAGCACGGCCACATATCCCTTACTGGTAGCCAATCGTTAGATACTATTGGCTCAAGGTCACGGCGGGCTAACGAAAGGCAGTAGTCTTAGCTGCAGCGAATTTTGGATGTGTTATCGCTTTGTAGAGCATGTCCAGGAGCTCAGCTCGCAGAGACTGTCCTCTAAGTAAATCGCTTTTATATAAATGCATCTTTTTAACAAGGCGTTTCAAAACCAGTTGTATATACGAAGAGCCTTGATACAGGAAAGCAATCAACTCGACCGTATTCAGCAGGAGGAAAAAGTCAAGACAGTGGTTTTGTTACCAATACCGGGACTATAGGAAGTGATCAAGAAGGAAGTGAACTGAGTCCTCCTCTTCCCGTCTATTCGTGGGAGTCGACTGCTGAGGAAGTCGCTGTAAAACCTAGGACCAGCATGCCTCTGAGAAGCACTAGCAGGTCCATGGAGCGTCTGTCTAGAAGCGCATTTGAGCTTGATATTCCCGATATGCGCACAGCACGGGAAGAGAGAGAACGCAGTCGGCGCGAGATGCGTGAGCTAAATGAGAAGCTAGCGGAACAAGTAGAGGGTGTAAGTAATTCGCTTCTTTTATAGTTACGGTGTAACTATAGTAGTTGTCATGATCCGTTCTAAGGGGTAATCTGGATGTGATAAACCCATAGGCGCAAACTATGGGGATTTAATTCGAAATTCAATTATGCAACTTTGGAATCGTCTATACTTAAGTAAAGTAAAGTCTTTTGGTCCATTTATCACAAGTATGGTGATCGTAACGCTCTACCAAACACTATAGGTCCACTTCACTTAAACAGTTTTGTGGGCGATAGATATTTCAAAGTTAAAAATTGGGTTATTTAGCATCTGAAAAGTGCATTTTTATCATTATTACGGGTTTATAAATCAACAAAAACGAAAAGGTTATTAAGTATTAATTAGCTTATAAATGATGGAAAACCCTTTGAATTTCCAGTTAATAGCGATTAACCTACTTTAAGTCATGAAAAACTTTAGTAGAAAACCATACTGGTTTAGCGCAAAACCGTGCATTCTCTTCTAATTTAGTTGAAAATGGGAATGTTTCTAGAGTGAGTTAACATCTAGTAATGTTCCATAATATTATCCAACTCAGAGCTTTCAAAGAAGGAGTATAATGCAGAAATGTACATAACTGTTACTTTTTGGGGCAAATTTAGACGTCATAGGAGAATGAAAGGTGTCAGGCTTTTAAGATTGCAGTGTTTGAGATAAGATGTGCTACTTATATTTTCTGCGGATTTTTTACCGATTTCAAAGTTTAAAGGGATCATTGAACGTTGTAGATCCTCATAGGGCGTTTCCTCCCATGACTGCATTAGTGCCATGCCAACTAGAACAACAATCAAAGGTTTCGCGCACCCAATGAATCATCATTTGAAGCCTTTGCAGAAGTGTAGTCATAGTAACTGAATGTTATTGTGTTTTAAAGTTTCCACCCTAGCAAAGATTTTAAAGGGACTTAACAGTCCAGAAGTTGTTTGGCAACGCAATTCTAAAGCAGTCAGTATGTGTAAAAGCGCATTCGGACATCAGTAGTTAATGGGACGAGGAGTTTGACGTCTTTAAATTTTAACCTTCAGTAAGTCTTTAGAACTAACGATCCTAACCATACAAGGAGCATATCGTAAATATCAATCGTAGCTGTCTCCAGGGTAGCTCATTCCATAAAGCGGCCAAAATTTAACAATGATTTTTTATCAACCGCCTAGGACTGAAGTCCATGAAAAATTTTGTAGCAATCTTTTACTGTTGGTAGAAATAGGTCAACAAATTGTGTTCTTGCTACTGTTTTAGTGTACCGGAGAACCTTCATTGACAAATAGGGCATACTATGCACTTTCCTTTGTAAGGTGATCAAATGATTCTGATGCCGATTCCTTGTCTCACGGATAATTCACCTTAGCATATAATTTAAGTCAACAAAAGCGGACAAATCACTTCAAAACCTTATCACATTCTTCACTAAAAGCAAAATCCTCCTACGAGTATTTTATCACTAACAGACTTATCACTTCCCTAGCTATGCCAAATTGAGCAAGAATTGTGACTGTAGATCAGAACGAGTTGCATATTTTGGACAATCAATAAAATTACCCACATGAATAACAATAATAAAATATTTTGATAATAGAAAAATTACTATTAAGGAGAAATGGGGAGTTTAATTGTAGTTTAGTCAATAGAACAGATCCGTAATTTAAAAATCGGCATTGAACATAATTCCGCAAGCCCTTAAGGTCGTGACTACGTTCCGTGAGTTGCGACAAGCACGCGAGTCCCCATATAATGCATTCTTGGCACGCAATACGCAGTATATCATGCTTATCAAGGCTAAAATGAGGAATAAAGTGAGTTGCTTTAATATTTGGCCTCTAAAAAACAATCTTTCTGGGAGTTCAACAATGAAATTACTACGTATTTTAGTTTTTTAATCATTAGACAACCCTTTCAATAAAGCACTTACCATAGCATAAAACTAAGGTGCAGAGAAAGTCATGACACTATCTTAAGATTTGACTACTAAAACTTACCACAATCCTCAAAACAGTCTACTGCAAAAAAGGAATCAGACGGGATCCCCTTATGTTTGTTTTAATAAATAACCAACACCGGAAAGCAATTAATAGTGAAGCAGTGAAATGGCTCAGGACTGTCAAGTTTAACTTGAGAATTTGCAGTAAAGTCGGTGAATATATAAATAAATCTCCTAAACATATAAAAAATTTTAAAACCAAACCAAGATTGGTGCATGATTGTAATAAACCTCATGTGTGACGGTGTAAGTCTATTCTACTATATTTGAGAAGAATGGCTAAAACAGGTTAAATCATTACCAGTTTTATTTATTGTGTGAGCGACTTCATTCAAGGGTCCATATAATATGGATTTCGTGTTTTGAAGTGGCAATGATAACGTAGTTTAATCACATTGCAAAACAGTCTCAAGTAATGCTTAAATTTCTCGTGGGTTGTATGGTAACAAGATAATGACACCAGTAAGAGATTTCTCTGGTTTTTTTAATGCTTCCACAGATAACATGAATTAAAGTGTTTCACTTTCATGATAGAGTTAAAGTAAAACAAATAGCCTGGCTCAGGTCAAAATAATCCTAATTTTATTTGACGTACCGACGCTATTTTATACACAAAGTCAACAGCAACAGTAAAAATTCGGTAATGAATAGCCACTTTCATAACCAATGGCAAGTTTTCTCAAAACAACGTAAAATATTAAGCATAAAATTAGCTCGTACCAATGCTGTGTTCGAATCTGGCTGTTTATAGAAAATCTTTCGCAGGATCTCACCAAGACTACACTATAAAATACTGGAATAAGTAGGCTAAAAATGTTTATTCTTGTCTAGATGCGTTACTTGTCTGCTCGCAATCGACAACTAACGGATGAAATTTCGAACCTAAAATCCCGTTGGCTGACTGAATCGGAAAAAACAAAGGAAATCTACGAAGGAGAATTGCGACAACTTCGGCAACTTCTAGATGATTCAGACAGGGAAAAGGCTGAAAGCCTTGCGAAGTTGCTCTCTCTGCAACAATTTAGCAGGAATCAGGAAGCTCAGTACGCCGCTTGATGTAGACAATAATTAAAATGTTACTGCAAGTTCTTTAGTAACTTACAAAATTTCTCGGATCCTTTTAGGATGGATAGGCTGACTCAAGAAAATGACAAGGTAAAAAGACGACTAGAACAGGCTTTTGACGATATGAACAAGCGAGATAGCGACTTCAGCACACTCCAGCGCAAACTCAGTGATCTCGAAAGCGAACTGGAAAAGGAGAGAATGAATTCTGAAAAGTTGCGACGTGATAATGAAACTATTTGTCAAGCAAGTCTTTCCGTTCTGTTATTTTCATTACCTGCAAAGATTTCATCTTTGCAGTTAATTGATGAGATTTTGACTAACCATAAATTATGCTTCAATGTACAACCTAGTTGAGAACCATTTAAACCAATTGAAACATCAAAAGCGTATTTTTGGAACCTCAAGGTGCGCCATATTTATCTGATGCAATAATTTTACTACTTCTTTAATGACGTATTCATTAAATTCTGGCAAACATAATGTTCATTCAAACCGTGGTGGCACAATTTTTCCTACCTTTTCTGCTTCATCTGTAAATTGTTTTGACTAAGGAATTGGTGGAACTGGAAATGTGACCGTTTTGATTAGTTTCATTTACGGGGAGATAAGAACTTTGGTAATATAAACTATTTGCTGAATTCAACTATAAAATGACGCCATTTTAACTGGAAAATCAAGTAATTTGATAATCAGTTTTTGTTATTGCACTGTAAGTCATTGTTAAACCGATGGAATGAGTGATTTAAGGTATTTAATTCTTGATAGCTGAGCCCATTGACTAGCACAACTATTACGTTCATTTGCACTAAGCAAATGTCATTTTGCGCTTCATATTTAAAACGTTACCAGTGCAAACCCTAAATTTACTACCATTATTATTAAACAAAGAACTTATGTGGCCTCAGTGAAACCTTCTTGTTTAAAACCGGAAATTTTGAAGGCACATCAAAAAAGTCGTTGTATCATTTTCAGGGTCTGCCTTGCCGTTGCATTACCGAAATCTCAGACACAAACCAGGAAAGCGCCTCACATACTTGTCCTTAAGTTACCATTATAGATCAAACTGCAATTCAGGGCTTAACTTGGTATAACATCCTCTCTTTGTGTGCATACATAGGCTGCAATAAATTAATGTGACAGTTTTGATTTCAAAATCCAACTGCTGTGGGATAATGTTGCTTATCACAAGACACCACCTGGAAGAGAATTTAAAGCGGTCAGTCCAGAATTTGGCCATTTGCTATGGTAGCGCATGCAAAAGTGGTACGGGAACCAAAGCCAAAGAAATCCCTTGTTAAATGTGTAATCTGCTGTGTTGTATGAAACTGCATACCCCACGTAGTCTGCGGCTCTATCTTGCGTGCGAAATCAGTTTTCGATTATGTGCACCTAAAATAGTGAAGCGTAAATGTATCCACTTCTTTTAGCTCGCTCATTTATTAAAATGAAGAAAAATAAATGCAAGTAGTACTAAACAAATAATATAGCACTTACTTCGTCATGAAATCATGTCAACAGCTACCTTCTTCATTCGGAATACTTCTGCATTTATGTAAGTTGCAGAATGTAGCTTATTGTGGGTTGTAAATTGTTTGGGTAAATAAAAAGTAGACTATCATTAAATTGCGTGGTAGATGACAGATGAATGCCCTGCCGAAAACATCCTTAGTTCTTCTAATTCACATTCTTTTTTCTATGAGACTTCAGCAAACAGAAATTAATTCAATAGTAAATTTCCAAGCCTTTTAGTCAGATATGAAATATTATATGGGTTATCTCGGCTCACTGCCACTGCTATACACTAAAAGTGACTCGAAGTTAGAAAACCATTTATTAACTTTTCTAAAACTCCTATTAATAACTAGGCTTACCCTGGTTTGAAACACCGACAAAATAAATGTGGTGATTTTCTTAAAATTTCACCTAACTTGCATGTCTTTTACCCTTCGTAAAGCTGCATTTATACAGGTCTTTCTCAAGTCTAGCCCTTACATAATGCTAATAGATTTTATTGCTGAAAATAATTTAAATATGTAGCCTTGGTGCCGAACGTACCAGTTTACTTAAAATAGTAGAGGAAAACTCAAATTGTTGTGATTATACTCCGCCATTTTTTGTGGTGTGTTCCTCAACCACCCTTTTGTTAGCTGTTGGCAAAGCAATAGATCCGATTTCAAAATAAAATTTAGCTTTAAAAATGTGGGTCAGTTGAAGTATGTCGCTTCATAATTTGATAACGAACTGAGTCGGGAGATGAAGACAAATTATCCCAAGTCCGTCCTGCAACATCGGATGTTGTCCTTGTGTACTGAAAGGCATATTTATCAGCATTTATCATGTAAAAGTTGCATGGAATTTTGTATGCAACTTCAGATTAACTATGGAAATAACATCCAAAAGGATTGCCAAGCTATCTCAAAACAGGGTAATAGTGTATCATGTGAAATTGCACTTCTTAAATGCAGATTTCATGAAAAGCAGGCGTTAATGTGAAAATGAGGTAAGATAAATATATCGGAGCGCATGTTTAAAATAATATACTTCATCAGTATATTTGTGGATTGCTTGACGTTCTTAAAAGCACCTAAGACATTAGGTAGTAGGAAATTTATTTCCACTTTGTCATCTCTATGTTCTCTTCTACTTAAGACAAAAATATAGTTGATTTTATGTAGCATCTGGATGAGGAAACAGCAAACCGCATATCTGGTCAGTCAGAGATGCAAACGCTGCGAGAGGAAATTGATTTCATGCGTCGGGCCCATCAGGAGGAGATAAGAGAGATGCACCGTACGTTGAATGAAGTTGGACGCGGTTGTGATCGCGAAATGTGGCAGACTGAGCTTAGCCAAGCAGTCCATGACATTCAAAATCGTTACGATGACCAGCTAGAGAAGCTTAAAGTCGATATGGAAGAAATGTACAATGCGAGGGTAATTTTATTTTCACATCCCGTTTGTTTTATGTTATTATTTCACTATGTGAAACAGTCACGCAGCGTATGGTTGGTGGATCATGAAATATTCATTCAAATGCAAATATGTTGCTTAAGAACCGTTGCATTCAATTTTTTAATGCTCTCTATTGTCAAGAAGTCGGCTAAAAGTTTACGAGTACGGATTGTGATTGCGTGAATTTAACGTTTCGTCATGATTGAGATCGTTCTTAGAGGGCTTTTGTAGCATGCTTTTTAGCAGCCTATTCATTCATATACTGACTTAAAGAACTCAAATCAATTAGACTTCCATAACATCAAATAAAGCCTGCAAAGATGCCAGACAAATTTGTTTACAGCTGTCCAAAGAATATATAAAAATCGGTAATTATTTACAAGGATGAGGAGTCCAAAATATCATATACCTAAAACAACGTTCAACTGCTTCTATTCACTATGATTAAAAGTTTACTCTCACAGTTCGACTTATTAATACAAAAGCATTTTTACTTGCAGCATGAAAATTTTATTTTATGCTTGTCATTTATTGAGAAAGCTAGGTGGAATGAGCAGCCGAAGGAGAAGTTTTGTCATTCGTCCGATACAACTCGAAGTAGAAATAGACTGTGATAGCATGACGGGCTAAATAAAATTTGAACGGCAAAACCCTTAATGTGACGGAATTTCTTAGGTTGATTTCAACGCATACTTTCAAGGTAATTTGATGACTCACTACAGGGTGAAACGTTTGGAGAATTGGCATCTCTTGACTTGAATAATTGACCATCGCAGCAGTGACCCAAAGAGGCAGATTTTTTGCTGATTTACGAGTTATCGTATATAATATTCGTAGACAATATTGTGACAGTGATCATGATAAGTGTCCAAGGGTATTGGGCTATCGCATTTTAGGGACCTGAAACTTATACGTAATTTTCTTACAAAGTAGCAGAAGAGGAAGGAATTTATCGCATTCCAGGCTCAAGGATACCTCTTCTTATAAATGATCAAAGGGTGAAAAACATGTTTGCCTGTGCAGCAATCAAATTCTAGTACATTGGATGCAAAATGTTTTACGCAGTAAAATCTCTGCTCCCATTAACATGGTAAAAGTTGATTGCCCTTATTAATTGTGCTGTAATTTTTTCTTTGAGGTTTGTTAATTAACTGCACCACCTTTATGATGAGGGCCAAATCGGTTCACATACAGAATTTCCATAAAGCCATTACCCTCTGTTGATATAAAAGCAAAATTTATGATAACACCCAAAAACTGCATAACAATTGATGTGAGAATGCTCCGGTAATCCAACAATCTTTTAAAACAGAGTAATGTATATTTCAAGTGACTAAACCTATAAATAAAGCATGGAAGTGATTGACAGTCCTAATCTGAATCTGGCACCAACACAGTGTGAGTGCTAGTTTGGCCAAAAGGAAACTGTAACACCATTATTTATTTCATTACTTTTTTAAATATGATACATGGTGGAAGAAAGTCAAATGTTTTCGTTTGTTTTGAGATGAATCAACCATTTTTCATTCATCCTAAATTATTAGATTCAAAGTAGTATTAAGGTGCTACTTATGAAAGAAAGTACTACTACAACTTATGTTCAAAAGCTGTTACGTGACCAAAAGGTAGCTTTCGTGCTAATTTTTGAGCGACACTTCGACTGAAACATCGAAATGAATTTTATCATGGAAGGGCTGGTTTTCATTTGATAAGGCGAAACCTGCAAACCATCAGTAAATGATTGGTCATGTTTTTCAAAAATTAATTAATAAAAGTCTGTAAATATCTAAAGCATGTGCCTTTAAATGTACTAAGAGGGCTGTGGGCACCTTCATTAAAGAGTAAACTACTTTTAGCCTAGTTTGGATTAAATTTTAAGGCGAAAAATATACTTTGAATAATTTTTGGACGATAGTATATGAAGGAGAACAGCTAATCTTCAAGGGCAACTTTACAATTACAGGACAACTAAAGTCGACGTTGTTTTATGTTTTTCGCAAAATCAAATAACGCCTTCCCATTTTCAGAATTTTTGGTTCAGGCGGGACATTTAACATACGGTATAAAATTCCTCTAAATTTTGTCCCTGAATTGGAAGGAAGAACCATTTTAATTGTGGCAGTCTTGATTAATATTCATCTAATAACCTTCGTGCACCCCTAATTGAATTTGTTAAGACAAAAGTTTATTTATTCAAATTCGTGGAAAGTGAATAGGACAAGCAACTGAAATACGGAACAATAAATGATATAGATGTACATTACTATCACCCTAAGGTTTAAACAATTACGGGGACATTCTCAAACCAAGTAAAACTCTCTGACCTTTATAATATTGCCTTTTTGTGTCCTCAATTACTCTTTTCGGTTACTTGCTTTATTCCCTTATGGAAATCCATCCGGAAACCACTTTATGGGTCATAAGAGCAAATTTTAGAATTCACTGAAAATTCTGAAAATGAAATATTAAAAGTAATTAAGTTAAAACAGGTTTTAAACTTCTTTCGACTCTAATTTATTATCCCAACTTAAAAATGTCCCTACTCCTATGTTACAACTACACTTTCTCATAAATTGAAGGTATTTTGGGTGGTTGTTTTATTTACTTTGAGTTGTGTTTGTTTGGAAACCTATCCCTAATATTCCAACCTGCTTAATGCATTGAATTTTACTGTAGGCATCTGATGAAAGATGTAATGCGTGAATATGCATAGATTTACACCTGCGTTCTACATCATCAAAGGTCTATTGAAAGAAATGCCCCTATAAGTAGACCTACCGAAATAACCTTCCATAAATCGTAGCAATGCACCACTTCACAAAATACTTTTGCATTTTTATTTCTTAAGCAAAGATTTGGACCTGTCCAAAAAATGCATTACACAAACGTCCATTTCTGTTGCCTAACCCATAATGTTCAGTTCTTGTTACAAAGTGAACAAATTCTACTTAAAAACACCATAAAGTACTACGCAGCAAGACTTCGCTTTCAAACAGCATGAAATTTCAGCATTATAAGGATGCATATTCTTATTATGCAACCTAGGCCAACTTAAATGTTTGAATTTCTCAAGCTTCGCGAACTGGGAAAGGTGAATCCAGAGCGGAAGACTGAGCTCAACGCTCTCAAGTCGGAGAACTCTAGGCTTAGGCAGAACTCAGATGGTATGCGGGAGCAGATAGCGCAACTCCAATCTAAGGTAAGTCCCTAAATTTGGAATCATCTTGAATACATGTATGGAGACAATGTGTTCTCTTCAAGTCTGCCTTCTATTTCTTCTCAAATGATTAAAGAAATCGACTAACATGATGTCATAATGAAGGCACATTAACGGGTTCATTTAAGCAGGAGATGGTGATTAACTTGGTGACTCCTGACCCACTGTACTGACATTAACGTTATAGTTAAGATTATCCCGTGCAATAATTATCTAACTCAAAAGTAGACAGATAGCGTCTTCCAGCATTCTGTATGATGACAATTGCACATCGAATTCATAGTGGAAACCCAAGTCCCAAGAAACGTACTTAATCATCTACATGATGCATAACTGAATTTTCCTAATAAACCTGTTAATATACTTGCATCAGTTCCAGTGTCTGAAAATGTTCCGTAGATTTTAGCTTCGCGCTTACCCATATTATAAGAATACAAAAGTCTGAAAGATATCTGGAAATAGACTTAGTTGAAACTGATTCAATCTATTCAAAGTTGCCATATGGCAAAACATGTCTATGGGGCTGAAAATCCTATAACTAGAGAGCTGCCAAAAAATACTAAACTTTAGAAGTCGTGAAGTATCGCCAATTGATTGGCGATTGTGTGTTTCGCGAGTGCAACGGCTTCTAAAGCCTCTTGTTTAACTTCATGTCCATTCAGTGCAATCGTGAAGTACCCTAAACTCGCATTAAAGAAAGAAAACTAAACCAAATGAATGACTGGATTTGAATGTTCTTTTGATACCGCGTAAAATGGGATTTGTTTTTAACCGTTCAGCGCACATGAAAATATAAATGTCGCACGGTGGTGAATTGGCCTCTAAAAAACCAGTCTTTGATTCCTCCACTTTCAAGTAGACTGTTTTTATCCTAACAGGTTTTTCAAATTGCTCCATTGTAGGGTTAAATTTTGTAAACGATTAAATCTCAATCTTTTAAAATGGTAATATGCATGCCACTTTATGTAATAATTTGCTTGTTCGGTTATTTGGTGACGATCGCGCTACCATCTGTGTTACCCGAATTGAAAAGTGAGAAAATGTTGAAAAAAATCTTCTTTTGATAAGTTGCAATGCTAAATCACAAGTCAATAACACTAAGCGAATTGACCTAGAGAAGTGGAAGTCCGTACTGTTTGATCCTATTCGAATTAAAGCCCTAATAATCAAAGAGTATTTATTTACCCAACTATCACGAATTTTAAGCCTTGACGTAACTGAGGAAGACGAATAGTGATTGCTAATGTTTGAATTCCAATTAGCTATGTCTATAACTTAATGAAAGACCAAGCTCTAGGCAATACTTGATTAATAATGCCTTCGGATAAAAATTCTATGAATTCAACCAACCAATCGAAATAAGCAACGCCAAATTCTACAACCGCTGGGAATTCCGACATCATCCAAACGATGCAATAAAGATTACATTTTTGCACTGCGGATATGCTTTTCCAGCTAAAACATTTAATTGGTCGGCTATGAAGAAACAAATACATAGAAAAATGGTGACAATAGTGACCCAAACAACTTAGTTATGTTTTTATTAACTTAAAGGTGCAAAAATTATCGAGCTTGTTAATTAATTAAAAACGCTGATATTCCAGCTTTTACCCTGGGTACTATTGTAATCACCGTTTCAAAATTAAAACACACGATGACAAAACAACGGGTATTTTCTAAAACATTATGAGCCGTTAAACAAGGAAATATCCTACATTTTTTATTGTATGTGGACCGCAGAACATAAGGCAGCAAGGGAAATATAAACCTAGTGCTCGAATTGTCCCTAAATTTAAGAGTGACTAAGGCAGATAAAAGAGTAATCAAATCGCACTACAATTTTTGTCTGAAGAAGATGATGATGATTAAACATGGATTTTGATAAACAAGAAGAAAGAAACAGCATGGTATGTTTGCAATAAAAATTAAATATGAATCTGCTCATCAGAAAAGCGATACATGGTATACTAAGTGCTGGCAAATAGGGAAAATTTCAAGATGGTCACTAATCTTGGGGAGGGTGATAAAACGTTCAGCGACATCAGTGCTGCATGACCATTTTTCCATTCCTTTTCTAAACACTCAATCCGTTAGTGAAAGGTCATTATGGCCAATGAGGTTGTAAAGTTTGGAATTCTCGAAATTCCCATATTGCACCGCTCTGAATATTTGTACATAAAATTTGCATCACGTCCCTTTGAACAATTTATTACTTTTATTTAAAAGAATATTTCCTTAATTATCAGTCATTTACAGCTTTCACTCGTTTTTTACTTGTGAGAGAGAGTTTGGATATTTATTTTATATGTAGTCTCCCATCGTTTGTACGAATGACATTTGGGCAGATGTGTAGCCCCGGAATGTCTCACAAATAATTCAGTAATCCCTGGAAAGTAGAATTATACGCATGTTTCATGGTCTTATGTCCTTGCACAGTCAGTTCCATATTTTCGTAAAATTTCAATTCAAACCGAAACGTTATCATCAGCCATCCCAGGCATTACAACCATCAAGTTTAGTCTTCGTTAAGATATAAGTCAAGGTCCTTTAATGGAAACATTTGCTCCCAAAACCTTGAAACTATAGCCATATTGCTTTTTAATGGCCTTGGGTTACCATCGGTACTGCATTACTTGTAAATTTGATAGTATTTTATTTGAACTCTTCTTCAGCATTTGAATGGAAGCTTTGAAGTCGCTGAAAAACCATTTGCATCTGGTTTACAGAATAGAGTATAGAGTCTTGCTTCACTGCAGTAATTCCAAAATAGTGTTGTATTTGGTTAAATGCAATTTTGGCTGCAAGCGCTGTTGATGATTTTGATAGTTCTTTCAGTGACATCTAAAGCCATTAGAGCCTTAACCCAATTAAATCCAAAATCTTCTTCATTTTTATGACCGAGATTTGCGATGACAACAAACTATATCGGCAAAAGGTAAGGAAACATGAAAATATTAATACACCGTTACTAAATTTAACATAAATCTGATCCATGAAGCTGTTTACAAATAACTATAATGAATCTTAAATGTCCAATCACCGGCTATAGGAAAAATAGCAAATCTTCCTAGCTTATGATGCTAGTAAATATTATTTGGTAATACTATATTCGAGGCTCATAATCGGAAAAAACACAGTGTTAATTTAAAAAGTGTACAGAGTATACTTTCTTAAAATTGATCTCAGAGCCACTTTTTTCTAGCAAATGGCTCAATTTTTTTGCTCAGGTATCTACAGGGGAAATAAAAAAGCAGACTCTGTGTATATCAAAGTATGGTTAATATCTGCGAAGAACATTGACTACGTATAATATCATTACGGAAATAAAGAGAGGGGAATTCTTTTTAAGATCTGAAAACACAACAGGACAGTTCGATTTGGCGGCGTTAAATAGTGCGTTTTGATTTTATGCCTTGTTTCAAACTCGATTTGTGTTCACAGTCATAAATGGAAGGAGCAGTAGAATGAAACTACGAATTTTTGAAGGCACTCTATATACAAGCTAGACTTGAATGGTTGGAAAGTGTAAATTTGAGGGTTTATGCATAAGTATAGCCCTATGATACCCTCAGAACGCCTATCTGGAGAAGGCGATGCGTGACGTGTCGACCGAAGCGGAGGAACTACGCCGACGCATCGAAGCTGAGTTGACAGAGTCAGCGAAGGAGAGGGAGGCAGCAGAGGAAGCGTTAGCGAAGGCACACAGCGAGATGGCGGCCCTCATGGATGTGAAGTTAAACCTGGAGGGAGAGATTGCAGCTTACGGACGTCTGCTTGATGCCCAGGGAGGCATTCTCAGCGGTGGCAGTAGAGGAGATGTTAGGGAGAACGTCTGTGGCCCGACTAATAGAACTCGATCTTCGCGAGAAGTCCTATCTAAACCACGACCTTCCAGCATGAGTCCCCAAAGACGAGTAATTCCTCCTATATCTAGCTCGGATATGTAAGTGCCATTCAAAATGCGCACTAAATATTTGATTATTAAACGTGGAAAAGCATTATCCTTAACATGAATCACCTTCTGATTGTCGCGGATGATATGGGTTTGCAAAAGATAATGCAACTTTTGGAAAACTGGAGCATTCGGCGCAAGTAGTGTGCAATCAGAACACGAATGATCCGTCAAAATGTTTGCTATTTTTACCTAAATATTTATGACACCTTTTTTCAACAAAGTGTTTCGTATTTATGAAAGAACATTAAAAAAGGTGTCTACAAGAATGCATGTTAGAGCATTTTAAGTTATTGTGTGCGTTTGTGAAGGTCCCAGCCGGAGCCGCGGAAGCCTAGAGTGACTGTGCCAAGTAGTCGCGAATTGTTTCCGTGGAAGAAACAGAATCGATACTGCAATTTAGGCATATCAGGTGTGATGCCTATGTAAGCACTTTTGCAGGTGAAGTGCTTTTTTTAGCTTAACATTGCCTCTGTGGCTCTAATATCTATTTAACACTTTTATGAGGTACTTTTGATGCATAAATGCATTAGTAATAATTCAAGAAAAGTTTTTGGGGTGTATTTTTGGTAAACTTGAAAGGAATCCTTGTTATAGAAAGTAGAGCTTATTCTTTTACTGTTACATTCCCCAAAATCAATTACCAAAGCGAGGGAAGCATGCCAGTACGTCATGCAGAATATGATTGATCAAAGCAATCCCTGTTCTATTTTAAGAAGCGTAGCTGGAAATCAGAATAAAACTAGTCTAAGCTCATAAACTAATGTCGCATGCTGTGATCATACTTAAGCTTACCTTCAAAACAGTCAAAGGACTGATGGTCTGCTTGTATTTATGCCAACGAGTGTATGCAATAAACCCTAACTTATATCATACATCTAATTTTGGGCTTCAACTTGCCGTTGTGATTCTTGTTTGCTTGCTGTGCTATCTATGGTTTAAAAAAGCCAGTTTTAAAGCGGAACTTGACAAAATTTTTGACGCTCTGTTCTTAGAGAGGCTGACCATATATATCTTCTTCAAAGACCCGTCCCAAATATAAATTTAGGCAAAAATCTAGGACAGTGGAGTATATTATGTTTAAGAATAAATAATTGGACTGCAAAGAAGTGTTTATTTTCTTTGAACTGAAACTTTATAGTAACTAATATTTTGTTAGAAATGATAGTTGCAAATCATCAATGAAACGAAAAATTCGTATCAGACATCTCGAGCCTCTCACCATGCTGAAGACAAATACTCGGTATTTGTAAGGACCAAACTCACGAAAGCCAGAAAAGCAGTTAAAAATCAGGAGAATACAAACAACGAAAAATACTACCAAATAAATATCCCGAAGTTTGTCATTTGATTAATAGGAAAGAGCAGATAAAAAAAATTTTGACAAATAAATTTGGGCAGCAGAAGGAAAATCGTTTAATAAATTAATGGTAATAGTTTCCGCAAATACAATGCACCTCTGTAGATAATCCTTATGATACACTTCTGAGAAATGGTTTATAGGGAATTACTTAAGGTTTCTATCACTGTACACAAATTTAGCCACATAGTATAACATTTCGTTAACTTAATGGTTCTTTATTTGGATTTTGCCCCTTTTTGTCTTTGGATGAAGATAAAACTTTTAAAAGCACTATCAAAGTTGACTGGGTGTCTAGAAGAATATCAACTCCCACTTTTACCAACTCTCGCTTTTCATTGAAGTCTACTTAACTTGGTCTTCTTGACTGACTAAAGGAATTTTCAAAAGGTTTCTAATAATTCTTTTGCAAAGCAAACTATTTGCTCACTTAAAAGAGTCGTATCATAAAATAAAAAGAATATGCAATTTTAAATAAAAAATGGGTTTAACTTTTCCCGCCTCTTACCTCGCTATAGTTAAAGACAATAACATTTTTAATGTATCCAGTCTTCGTTTGACACTCGGGTAAATCAAACACCATAATATGCCAGTGATGAAGTACAATCGCTTTCTAGACCCCACAGACTTCATGAGAGAAGCGACCCATCGGGATCATCTTTTCGATCAAGAGCGGTAGAATTCGATGGCGAAAGTAAGTAGACTATCAGCTAAAACTTTCTAAAAAGTATGTCACTTGTGTACAAGTGTGAATAATTGAGACTTTATTGCTAGCTGCTAATCTTTGCGGCTGATTCTAAGTCAACTGCCAAACATGAAATCGCTACTGCCATAGGCATCATTTCTACCAACTCTGTTAGTAAATCAGTAGAGCACATCCATGGTCCATTTAGGTGTTTTTATATAATTTAATGCTACCTTATAACAGGGAAAGTATTGCAGATATTTGCTAATAGGTATTTCCATTGTAGGTGAACAACAATTATCATGCAGTTACAAACCAGGTAAGAGCAACTGTAACAAACAAGTAAAACATATAATTAAGCACTTGCATTTCATATGCAAATAACAATCCCTGCAATTTAATACAGCTCAAATGAAGGATGTTAACACTATTTTACTCTAAGCAGTTAGAAACTTATCGGTCAGCTAAATTGTTGTCATACATATATTAGACTTCATCAACCCAACTGCCATTGAATATTACCTTATGACTCAGTTAACTGAGTAATATGAACCGCGCACTACTTTGACGTGAATGCTCGGTAATTATGAGGAAAAAGATGAGCAATTCAAGAAGTACATTTGGAAAAATTTGCTGTCCTTCATTATTGGTCTCCCGCGACATCAGCGTTTTGACCTGCAATTAAAATATGTTCCTTTTCAGTGCTAGAGACGGTTATTTGCTTTTTGCAGAAAAGCATTGAATTGGTAGAACCACGCACAAACTCAGATAAAGGATAACCAAAAACTACTTGTTTGTGTAATTTTAGCAACGGAAATTTCCCCACTTCATCAAAGAAGTTAATGAAATTAAGCGTAAACAAGCACCACAAACACTGTAACAATTGAGTCGCATCCCACAGGCTCCAGTTACCCTCAATAAATAAGTCAAAATTACTTAGCATAGCATTACGTGCTTTGGGGTGTGTGCGGAACTCAGGCATAATGCGCTGCATTCGTCCACTCAAGTGTTTCTCTAGTTTCCGTTTAGGTGGCTCATAGAAACATCCTTTAAAGTTGTTCGTGTTAATCTAATTAAGGCGACTCATGGGGTTTTCTGGTTCAAAAAACTTGCACTTAATAATTAACTCGTTGCACTCTGAAGGTAAAATTGGATCGCGTGCAATTGACTTCAGTGCCATCGCCTTCTAGCATTTTTCCTTTTGCCCTGTAGAGCGAGCGGATCAAAGGGGAATACGAGGCGAATTGACTGCACGAACTCAGTTTGACAAATCTTACAAAGGTGCAATCTCAATTGATGAGTGCTCCCCCGATGGTCGATATATCGTCATAACAAATAACGGAAACACGGTTTGTCAATTTTATGATCGTCAGAATGATGCAAGTCTTGTGAAAATGCCATAGATTGTATTGCAAAATAAGCATGTATTTACAAACTGCGTACACTCCAATGATTCCGGTGAAATGAAATCCCACAGAAGAAGGACAAATTGGTAAATAATTAAATCATTGGAAATTCTGGTAAGCCAAATGGTACCGCTACTGGGATATAATGGTAAAGAAAATCGTGACACGAATAAGGAATAAAACGTCTGTAACGAAAGACAAGCAAACAAATTCAAAGTCCACTGATATATTCCATTCTAATTTCTGAAGTATGCTTTAATATATACTAGATCCCATGATATTTTTATAAATTATAAGTTTAATAGTTTATTTATACAGTGGCCTTCGTCTTTCATACGGTGTTTTACACCGACCTTCTTACCGACACCGTATATATCTAAACTTATGCTAAGATATTCTTACTTAGAATTAAATTGTTGGCATAAAATTCGTTCGCAACCACATATAATTTTGTACTGCTTAACGTGAGATGTACTAAATATTATTTAATTGAGTTAGCACGAAGAAAGGATAATATTCAAGTATTTTTACGTTTCAAAACGCTTTTACTACTTTTGAGTGACAATGATGAGGGTGCATAAAGTTTTCAATTGTGAGGTAAATCCAAACGGAACCTCCGCATCAGCATTAGATACGGGATTTCCTCTTGAAAGGTTTTACACTGTCACTATACTTTTCCCCTTTCAAGGCAGAGAATTTAAATGGGTGGCGAATAGTCCGAAACATCGAACATGGCAAGCAAATAATCCGTTTCACCTTTGGCGATACACCAATGTTGCCGAAAAGCAGCCGAAGAGTGAGTGTTGCTTCGAAATGTATTAAACTCTTTAACAAATTGACACATTACATTCCTCTGGAGAAAATAGCGAATTACATGACCATCCAAAACTACTTTTTTCATTAAGTACCCTTCAAACAAACGATATTGAGGAAGATAGGAAGAATGTTTTCTAGTATGCCCTCTCCTTTAATATTTTACTTGTCTGAGGTTTATGGAGTTAAAAATAGATTTTGCTTATAGTTAAAATGTGAACACTTGGAGTACATAGCTACGCGCAGATCTATATAACATGATAAAGACCGGACACAAGGGACTTAAAATGGTGAAAGAAGTTTGGAATAGACTACCCGGTTGTAAAAATGGCACTTTGAGGAATTCCAATGAGTTTCCTCACGAAACTAAACGACTGAGTAGTTATAAAGTATTATACTTACTTAGTCGTATTCGCTATTATTTGCCCTGGAATTGAATTTAATCGCTATGTTTAGTCATTGGTTTTAATGAAGTAACTTATGATGCCTGATTTTAATGTCATCCGTGAATGCATACCTGAATGCAGATCCATTCCCATCCGCATATTTTCTTGACTGAAAACTGGATCACATTTATACAAAAATATTGTTTATATTGGTTATAGGTGAGAGAAAACTGATGGCTCGTTTTTTGTCTCTCATAAAAAAGTCGCTTGCAGAAGGCATGTCTTCTTATCTAAGTTCAGATAGGTAGATTTTTAAGAACACTCTTTTACTTATTCACACCCTAATATGTCAGTTTAAATTTCCTTACGGTAGGAGCACATTCAGTTGTTCACAGTTATGTTATTATGTTTTGTGGTGTATATAGTCACAGAAATTCTGTTAATTAGCTTTGGGAAAATCAAATACATAAATTGATACTTTGCTACCAATAGTCCACTTTTTCCCTATTTGAAAAATCTCATAGATCGATCAGCAGTTTGGTCACTCTATGTCCGTATTTTTAAAGACTTTAAGTGCCGTACATCGGAACCAGCTTGTCCATTGTAAAACGATAATACTATGGTTTTCATTTGCTATTTAAATTCTTTCATATCAAAAATTTCAAATTTTCTGCTTTATCTACGACGTTTGTCATTTAAACCAATCTGAAATCCGCTGTAATTAACGTGTTTGATTTTATGACATCAAGCTTCCGTTCATGCGAAGTTAGAGCTTATTCAAGTAGAGACAAACGACCCTCGTTACTTAACTGCGGCTCCTTGAACAAAATATATTCACTCCCCTCTTTTATCGGGATTATGAGTTTTGTCCTCTGTCACACTGCGTACTTGATATATTATTATTAGAAATAGATACTTTTGTTAGCTAGGGTCACCCGATGAGGCAACTGATGAGATAAAGATAAGCCCAATTGACTATTCCTCCTTTTTTAGTTATTTTTATAGCAACAAAGCAATTGCAAGTGTCGTGAGTATTATAATGGGGGTTTCAAATCTTAAAATCTACAAAGGGTTTTGTTATGAGGTAGGGGCCTTGGTTATGAGAAGTCAAATTTAATTTCACTCATCGCTTTTAATAAGCTAGTCTATTTCTAAAAGGGTTTTCTAGTTCACTCACTTTTTTATGAATAAATAATTTCTGACACATAAATTTCCATTATTTTCTACCTAACAAGACAGGCCACAATTGAGTTTAACGGAGTAAATCCGGCCAGGATTTGCTAGGATAGCTTTTTCCCATTCAGTTGCCTTAGTGGCGTGGTTATGGCAGGAAGTAAACCAATAGCAAATTTTGCGCTCACACGAAATTCCCTCAAAGAAATGCGAAAAAGATTACCACCTTTCTGTTGGCGGTATGTGTGCTTTTTGTAAAGCTTCCTAGTCCAAAATTTTGAGGTCTTACGTCCTTAGTAATACGTTGGATTGTGGTGTAATAAAAGGTATTTTGACTAAATTAAACACCACACTTCCCGCCCAATGTTAAAAACGTACGTAACATTTGTAACTTCTCATTGGTTCAGTAAATTTTTGAAAGGAAAATACATGATGTTTTGCCTGCTTTTAGATTTGGGCTAGAGGTCAACGTGGCCTGGATGCAGGACCAAAGGACTTGGAATCACCATACTCAACGTGGGGTGTTGGTGGATATATTTATACAACACTGTTCACAATGGATGGTGAGGTAAATCCTTAGTTTCTTAAAAAGAAGTTGCTCTACACTGCCATGTTAAAATTCCGGTGATAAGAAATACCTGAACTCTCACAACTCCCACAATTACATCACAGCCACGTGCAGCAAATTATACTTTCCAATTAATCCACTACTTACCATTTCCACTTAACGAACTAAGGCATTTAAGTATTCTAGTTATGCCGACTAAAAACACAAATTCCACTTCGTTTTTTTTCCGCGTAATGCAATCTGTTCCCTCTTATCCTTTTTAGGAACGTGCTACGCATGCCCAACGTGCAGAATTTAACTTAAGCTGATTCGCCAATAAAGGATCTCATCCAACTCTTCAAGAAAGTATAACCAGTTGCCTTCTACTCTCTTCTAGGCGCAATATTTTAATTTAGGTGTGATATAACCATTCCTTCCAATTTCGCGACATCTGAAATTCACATTTACAACGTGGCACCCATATGTAGCCATGTTGTTAGTTCTATTCCCTCATGTGTTTAAGTACACAATATTCAAATGTTATTACATACCACTGATGGAATAAAGATTAGTTGAAATCTTTTACTAAAGTTATTGTTTTATTGGCTCAGTTCCCTTTTTAATCTTTTAATAAGTTCACGTATGGATGGCGTTTTTTGTGTACAATATGGTCAGATTCGATATTTCACTTTGCAAAATCGCATCTTGAATGCATTTTCAGGCATTTTGTTTGGTGCTTCCTTAAGACATTATTTATATGTTAAGTCGAAGGGCTGTATGAATTGATAGACAATGTATAAAAGTGGGTTACGTAAGTAGTACTGAATTAGCAAAATAAACTTAATGACCCTTCACATGTCAACTTTTGGCCGCAACGAAACCAAATTAATGAGAGTCGGTAATTTAAATCCAAGATGATGGAATGCGCACCTTTTGATGTGGGAAGAAGGCTTTATTTAATGTCCAAATTTCAGTTTACTTGTTGGAATACTTTGCTGGTCTTAGCAATGAATTTAAAGGAAACTAGACTTCGTACAGATCATTTTTCTAGCACAACCTATGTTTGATCTATTAATAAGCACTTAAGAAATACTTTAGCCGAATGAATTTAGAAAATTTTTATCTTGTTCCCATAAATTTTCAGCAAATGATTTTGACCATCGCAGTCATGATCTTGGCCCATAAGTGGTCCACTTTTCCCGATTGGCTGCTACTTGGTGAATTAGTTTCCTTCTTGACCATAATATTTGATCGAGGTTTGTGGAAGAACTACGAGCAGAAAATCGAAGGGGTGCCGCTTATAGTCCTGTTAAACCATTTAGTAAAATGTGTTCACGATAGTTTGGAAGTGAACGGAACATGCAAACAACAAGTATGACATTGCTGGTAAAAATGGGGAAACGACCTTTCATAATTCCGATGACAAAACTTTTAGCCTTTATGATGAGTTACTGAATTGAATAATTCCGATTTAGTCCATAAAGCATCGTGAATATTTTGCTTGCCTGAAAAGTCTATAATGAAGCCAAAATTATACTATAAAAATCATGCTACGCAGTTCATTATGCATACAGCGTTAATTCTTGACATTTTCAAAAACAAAATTGATGATGCGTGATTTTAGAGGATTCCCCAAGCATCTAACATGCAATAGATAAGAAGTAGTCGAAATTCTATTATCTAAAAATCACCTGCAAATCGGTAATTAGATCCATTGCATCCTACTTGGATCCTCTTTTAGACCTATTTATGCTCAAATCAAGGACTAAAATGAATTTGTTTCAAACTTGAGGTCCAGCAAAGAAAGCGCGTTTTAGTTACGACTTTTTATACTATAAATAAAATCTTACTTATAGGTAATGAATTCGGTGAAGGCACCAATGAGCAAAGTAAGGGAAAGCGCCCGTGTAGAATGGCATCACGGTAGGTTAAACTTATAAAAGAACCAACTTAAGTCTAGGTGTCCGAAATCAGGTGCGTTTTTTGACAATAACGAAATCTTTTGACTGTTGTGATGTTTTATTGCGGGTTTGTTTGATTTATCATCAATAGCAAGAAGAAGAACTCACTTTTGATTAAGCAACTCTGTCCTGAATTACCTTTGATTAAGATAGTACAGTTTGCTTAATTTTTTATGCAAATGAGTTTTGAATAATTTTTAAAAACCTAAATCCTCGTTATGATTCAGCATAACTCCTGCAGAATTATCTTGGCTGATATGGAGTTGAAAGGTTCCCCCTACGAAACAAGTACTGTTGGTTAAAGACATATATAATAAGTTACACTGTTTTGAGAGTCAATGCAGCACCCACATCAGCATGTAGCAGTGGAAGGCTATGCAGACACTCCAATAGTTGGGCATCATAGCACTATTTTTGGTTATGAATCGGAAGCTAGAAAATGACTCAATTAATCGGACATTGTAATTACAGCATCCACTCCTTTGCTTTTAAGTAGGAAGCATTTAAAATACTTAAACTGCTCCTATCTTGAGAAGCAGCTAAAAGCACAAAAAGGTGGAAACACGTATTGCATTTCTACTTCCCATTGACAGAATTTTCATTTCTTTTTAGTTGGAAAACTTTTGAATTAAAAACTTTAGCACTAACTTTTCAAACTAAAATCAAACCTTAGCTCTCGGCGTTTACCACGTCATTCGCAAAATTTGCTTGACAGAAGTGTTTTGAGGAACTCTACAGCAGCTTAGTAAATGATTGATAGAACTGAGATACACACAATGTGTGGACTATGTCAAGTTTATATCCTCAAAATCTGACATGTTTCAATTATCGAGCAACTTTTGCCATTTAATCTGGTGAAAATCAAAAGAGGAAACTCAGCCTTCATAGTAGTTGCTATTTGGAATTGAAGCGTCAAAAGGTTGAAGCTTAGGAATTATTACTCAGAGGTAATTAAGTTTCTGTTTCACGAACGGATCACCCTTATCAACAAGAAAAGAGAAAACTGATTTATCATTTACCAAGTAAAAGTTAGGGAGCCAAATGTATGTGTTAAATCATTAAATGACAAAAATTACCAGTAAGTTGACTACTGCGCAAAATATTTGCCATTATTACAACATTTCACTTAAACCCAATCCGCTGTATTTCGGTTCAAATTCAATGACATTATAAAAGTCTAATTAAAAAGTGGCATCTGACAGGCTACAACCTCTCGAGACTAATTCAATGCAGTTAAGTTATTTCATATAAAATATTATAACTTGTTATGAACTTTACTCTATAGACTTTATTTTTTGGCCTCAGTAGATCCATTTTCCTATTATTAAGAGGCCATTTGACATTTAGTTAACCTTTGAAGTGTGATCACTTGGGGGTCTTTGATAAATCCACAAACTTTATCCAAGTTTTGAAGGGTCAAAGGTCATAGTCTGCTATATCTGGATTGAGATAGACTGAGTAAGCGATGACCTAAGCTAGGGAAACAAGCTTCGATTGTCATTGTTGCTGTGCTTCAAATGGTCAGTAATCGCATTTGGTAATGTCGCAAGTGAATTTCCACTTTTTCGAAGCTTTGATAATGGCACTTTTTGAAAATTTCCTTAGAGATTTAAACTTTACTTAAACTACAAAAAGACGATTTTGTTGGTGCTACATAACTAGACTGCTGATTTTTGCTTCCGAAGAAGGGATCCCATCAAAGGAAATCATGCAAGTGTTCTTGTCTGATTCCGCTTTAGTCGCCACTTTAAATGCAAACAATGACTAAAAATTGGTTTGATAAAACTTATTCCTCATAAAATCATAGACAACCCGCTCTATTTGAGACCGTGATAAACCAAATGCTTAAGCTTTTAAACAACATCTTGTAGTCTAAGCTGCCTCTCAGCGAGCACTCAACTAAGGATCGGTATTAATGAGTGAAGCGCGAAACTCTGTCAAATAATGAGTCAGAAATCCGAAAGAACTGTGTTTGTAAAGGAAAACTCACTTTAGAACTGTAGGAAATACCATGGTTCTTACTCTGGTCATTTAGGTAGACATCAACTAATTTAACTCATTCCTGTGTAAAAAGTTGTACAGAGGTTTCGTTGCTTTTAGGACTTGTGCTTAAACCCCATTGAATTAATGACCCCACTTGAAGACGAAATCGCCACAGGGTTGATAAGTGGATTTGTGAATTAAGTGTGTAAGTTTTAAGAAGCAACCCTAGAATATCAACTTTTCACTAGAGTGTTATCTACGCTTCGTGCACGTACGCGCTATTCCTGTTCCACTTGATGTGCACAGTATGACTGGTTATCGTGCAGCGGGCAAATTACATTTTACCTCTCCACGATCTGTCCAATCCGGTGACTAGCTTTTGAGCTACACAAGGGCGCGCGAACCCTCGCATGCACAGGCACACGTGAGTTAACGCAAGACCAAAGCGGTGGCATTGGAGTGGCATTACCCTAATCGTCATCATCACCGTCGCTACCATCAATAACAACAGCAGGATCACTGCCTGGAAGCTCCATTCCTTCCGCCTCATATGGGCATAAATTCAATCTGTGCCAACAATGCGACCAGCCCGCCGCTGGATGTAGGGATGACTTCCACCGTAGTTGACATAAAAATGGAACCGACTAGCTGTCCTTCCAACGACACGAGCTGCACCCATTCTAATCTCAACTGCGCCAGTACCAATGAACCAATTGGTATAGGCTTTGTGGGCGGGCAAATCGGTGACCTTAAAAATGGAGCTACAACCGTGACTGTGATGGAGGCGGAGGGCCAGGAAGAGGAAGAAGGCGATGAGGCGGAGGTTGAATTGAAAGAAGGGGACGAAGAAGGGACAGTTTTTCCCCATGAACCTGGGTAAATGGAAATCAATCGTTTTATCTGCTTATATATTCTTAATCTACACTTAATGGGACATTTTTCATGAAAATATGTTTTACTTCGTAAGACTTCGTAAAACAGGCTGATTTTCTTAAAATTAGCTAAGAATACAATAATTTTGCTGCGATTTTTCTTAACTTCTTATCTGACTAGAGCTGACTCGGCAAATAATGGTTCCTATTAGCTGCTACTTAGCTTTATATTTATTTGGGGATTCTTGGTGACACTTATCGTAGATGAATGCAAATAATGAGTAATTGCATTTATTGGATCTTTGCTTATTTATAAATCATTTTTCATCCTAAAGCACACTAAAATTCAGAAGGGGCCGACGTAGTTCAAGCAAGCATTTCGACCTTTAGCGTATTGTGGCAGTTTAAAACTGCGCTTCCCTACCTGTCAGCCAGTGGGCAAAGCATTTTTTTGGGATTTACAGTGACTCGAGTTTTCAACTTCTCCATCTGTTGTGACATGTCTATTGACTTGAGTGAAATTTAGAAGGAGACCATTCTTTTCCTTTCAATTAGATTTAGTTTAGCCTCTGCAATAAAAATGGGCTAGGTTCATTATTATTCTTTCCGATTCGAGTTCAACGCTGGAAAATAAATCGTTCACAATAAGAGAAATGTCTTTTCTCAAGGTATGTGGCATTGCAACTTAGTTTAATCCAGGAATTTGATGGTTTTTGAAATTCGCAGGTGAGCTCAAAATATTGCAAATTATGCGTGACACTAAAGGTTGTAGGACTCTTTTTACAGTTAAAATTTGCAAATTTTTATTCTGTGAACTTATGCTTACTCTCAAATTCGGCCACAAGTTGCAATGCTGATTCAAATGAGCTAATTTCACCAACACGTGTCCGAATCTTGGCCACCACAAGTGTATGTGCATTAAGTAGAAAGCCCAGCGAAATGCGCCTTTGAAGTGCATTTAACTCAGAAATGAATTTTTGGTATCGAAACATTACCAATTGCTATTGTGCTACCCATTCGTTACACTTTCTGCGGTTCACAGATGCCATTACATCTTTAAAAATGGTTGGCTACACTATTCGTGCTTCTAAATTTTGGCAGGAAGTTACATATTTAATGGAAATAAAATTACACTAACTAAAGAGGTTTTTAATCTATAAAATTTACTTGAACTAGAAGCAAAAGCTGAAATCTGGGAGCTGTTTTACTACTTTGCTCCCACCCATTCTGACTCCGCTTTACTGGTGTGCGTTTGACGCTCCCTATTCTGTCACACATACATTTGCACCTGGCGAAACACGATTCTGCATTCTCAAAGTAAAGTATTATTCTTACAGTGTGGCATTCACACTACAGTTAGGCAAAAACTACTATTAGCAACATCTTGACTGCCTGCAATTCTACACATCAAGATGGCTTGAAGTACTAATTCTATTTTCTGACTTATTTTCAAGTAAAAGCCTCAAAATCATTCACTTGCTTAAGTACCCTAAATTAGTCAAGTCAGCTCATATGTACAACTGCTAAAGAAACAAGTTTTCGATTATCAGATGGGTTTACTGAATCCCTCTTCATAGGTCACACAAATTTTCGCCCTACCTCTTATTCCTGTCAATCAAATTATCTTTTAAATAATGGTGCAGGACCGCTTATTTTATCGCTGCTTGAATGCTACGCAGCTATTCATGCGGCAATAAAACAATATAAAATACCCCTCAGGTAATAAGGTACTCATGCTTATAAGTCCCCATGTGCCCTGCGTTCGGACCAAATAATCAACATGCGAGTCTATCTTTCGTTCTATGACTACGTTCATGTGAATACAACGTCAGGGTCTAGATTAAACCATGTATTTTAAAGCAATACATTAATCAGTTTTTATTATTTCTTAGGAAGGAAAATATGTGGTAAAAGCTTGGTTTTTATGTGTGTAAACACAGTTCGTTAACTGCTTGAGATGTGAAGGAGCATGTATCAATAAAACATTTAATAAAATCGTTTTAGCGGGAGAATAAGTTTATGTAGTTAGTTTTTCGCTAATCTATTTCTGATTTTAAAATACAACAAAGAAAGTGTTTTTCATGTAGAATCAAAAAGTTGGGACACTTTTATTCTTTATAGGCCTGAACTTTTTGTCGGAGCATTTTAGAGACGCATTGTAAACATAAATAATAAAGAAAATTATGCAACCAAACGGTATTTTAAAACTAGGCTGTATATTGGAACTCATGTTCATAATTTCATGTTTTCCTTGCTCTCCGATTTACCAGCAATTTCATTAGGTGTCGTAATAAAGACATGGACCTACAAAACAGAGGATTCAAAGGCGTTTTTTGAGTCGTAGAGCTACTCAAGTCGTTACTTCAAATATGGTTCCTGGATATTTTGGCATTTCACGGATGAATTTATGTAATCAGTCAAAATAAGAATGCTTGATCAAAATGGCAACATGATGGATGGCTGTAATACCATAGCTTCCATTTCCCAGCATTACCATAATCGGTGCTATTGGCTGAAGGTCATTTATTCCATAGTCGGGAGCAGTAATTTTGCAAATTCACTAGGCATTTTAACATTTAGGTTAAATTTCAAATTGCATTACTACATTTCTTTAATTAACAAACACATTTGAAATATCTAGTTGCTTTTTGATAATAAACGGAGATTGTCCTGTAAGCTGCTGAGTTTGCCAACTATATGATGAATAGATTAAATTAAAAACTACTTTTAAAGTTTAGAACTCATCGTTTCCAAACACAGTATTTGCACTTCATGTCAAAAAGTGCGCGCAGTGCTGTATAATTAAACTGACTAGTTTAAATCCACTTTATTGTGTATGACTTGAATCAGTTCTAAACTATTAGGGTCTGTGGACTCAGAGGAAAGTTGAAGTTGTTGTTATTTTCTAGTGAAAAGCCATATGTTGACTCACAAAAAAGAAGTGGTGAAGGACTACTCACAAAAACTCAATGTTTTCCTTTATTTTAGGAAAATTTTTATTGGTGGCTTGAACCCGTGCACTACAATTGGTAAGTATGGAATTGTTGACCTGTTGGCGTTGTTGCTAATGTAGGCAAGAGATTAACGTTAAGCCGATCTCGGAATTGAAAGGAGATCTCAGAGCGTAAGTGTGAACTTCCGCCCCTTGCCGCAAAAAGGCAAGCAAGTAACTCATGCTAACTTCCATGTGGAGCGTTGGTTGTTCTGTCCAAAACTAGGCTTTTTTGATAATTTAACGCTTTACTAAGTTCCTTAAAATCAGGACTTCAGACATTTGGTCAAATTTACCGAATGGTTTATTTCTTTCGTATTTTGAGGGCTAAGGTATGACTCTGCGGACATATATTTTGCTATAATTTCGATGCCATGTTTTGTAAAAATAAAGAAGTCACCTGATCATCCCTTAATGAAGTCTTTATACATTTGGTACAACACTTAAGACTTTTGCATTTTGTTCATTGTGTGACTATTTTTCGGTAAATTTCTGTATCTTTCTAATGGCAATGAAATTAAATGGAAACTGCTCAATTAAGCTCAGACACTTTGTAAATATTCTGTGTTTATACATTTCTTCCTATTTTTAGGGATATGCATTCATAACGGAAATAGCATTTGCTGAAATATTAACTGCTATTAAGAATATGGGTGCTTGGAATCAAGACAAGATTATGTACTCAAGGACTGTTTCCTAAAAACTCACACTTTTTAATTTAAGCGAATTTTCATGTAAAATATACGAAGTCAAAATTGACGAAACACTTCCGACGTTATTAATCAAAGTAGGTTGATGTACTGCAAACAAGAAGTTATTTTTAAATGAGTTTTAGAAGACTTCGATAATCTTACGTATGTCATCAAATTGAACAATGTACAAAGAATTATTTTTGGCTCATAAAGTAGTTAGACCTTGGAAACTTACACTGTAAAATATCCATTCATTTAATTTTATTCAGTTTCAAGACATTTACCTTCCTAAATACTCACAAATTTAGGTTCTTACGTCACTTCTTTCTCAAATTATTATCATTGCACAATTTCGACTTTGGTTTTACTGATACGCGGGATTTCAAAGCGTAACACTGCATTAATGCATCTACTTATGGTATAATCCATTCAAAGTGCTCAGAGAAACCCATTTTTCCCTTCTCCATTTCTACCTATCCAATCATAAGTACATTCTGTATATGATCGCAATCCAACAATAACATCCTCCCTTTCCTAATGTTGATTTCCACAGCTACTCTGTATTTTGCCCTTCTGTAGTCAATTTACATAAAATATCACTTTAGTATGTGAACAACGTCCGTAAAATAACAGCTAAGTTGGCTACCTCTTCTAAGCCAATTTTGTGAGCAATTGGAATGAGCCTTTCGAACAGTTTCCCTATGTTAGAATCGAGGATTCCCCCTCAATATGTATTTAGTGTTAAAAGCAGCCCAATATAAGTATGAGTAGAAAGTGAATAAAGCATTTCGTAAAGTGAAAATATAACAGTTATTATTATCGTTTCGGAGCTAAGACTACCGCTAAAAGGCGCTCACTATCGTTGCCATGTAAACTCGACCTATGATTCTGTAAGAGGAGAAGAATGCAATTAATCTTGTGAAATACACCTAAGCACTTGTCTTTTGTTTTCATTAACGAATATCTGGTATTCTGGCTTACTAAGTTGGATTCGAGGATTAATTATTCATATTTAATCACCTAGAAATAAAACCATGATGGTCGTGAATTCACTATTACTTGACCTTTAGTGACATACCGCCTTAGTTGTTAGGATTCATATTCTACGTTGACTTCTCCGTAATTTTTGTACCTTGGTATCTCATGGAGCTTTAGAGTAATTAATCCTGGGTGAGTTTCCTTTGAAAAGCGCGAACAGTTGTAATGCTGATACGTATTTGTTAGAGTGCAATTATTTGGGACCTATCACATTTGCACTTTTGTGAAATGAAGAAGTTAAGTGGCAGTTGGCAAACCATTCAACGGAAAAGTGTTGATATATACTGACTTTTGAGATTTTGGGCAAAGCCTTTTTAATATATGTTTGCATCCATACATAGATTCGGACTTGTTTTGCATCGGAAAAGGAGCAGGATCGCTTCTATTAATTAATTTGTTGCTTGCGTACTTGACAAATGTCTAAATTACTGTTTGTATTCTACCATTGTTCCTTTTCTCAATCATCGTCACTACTGTACAACTATAAGAATGCGTATACCTCTAATTTTAGAAACATTGAAGTTTTACTTTCGAAAATATGGCGAAATCAAGAATTCACTGATAATGCGAGACATCATCACTAAAAAGTCTCGGTAAGTTCTAATGTACTATTCTCCAAATGTTCGTAAAAGTAATATTGAATCAAGTCTTATTGTTTTTGGTCCTTCAGTGTGCTAAAATGAATACTTCGCCTCAAAAAACCTAGTCTACTAGTTTTTATGCTTTTGTGTGAGTGAGGATTACAGTTTATAACAAATATACCTATAAATCTAAATTCAACCGTTTTGATAAACCAACTTTTATTTCCAGGTTTTTTGTGAGCTTTTAAAGGTTGCTCCTTTATCAACTCGTGGGTGAACTGGATTATCAAGTTGCGGCACAGCCACACTTCAGTCATATTTTCTTGATACGAAACTTCGCATTTTAACGAGGTGTTACGTAAGATGAAAGAAGAGACGTGCAGAGTGATGTTTGCAAATGGCTGCTTAACTTATTCATCCTCAAATGCTGCAGCGGGGATAGCTAAGTTAAACAGTGGATCGTTATCTAGCAAAATGCGCGCATATTGGTTTTCCTCACTTTATATCAATTTCCGCAGATCTTCAGATGTGCATAAAATTAGACGGGAATAACTTTTTAGGGCATAAAGGGAACTACTTCCTTGTATTTATGACAGTGAAAGGCCCCTTTACAACGAGGATTCCTTACATGAATGATACTTTCGTACTGTTATGCAACTGTTAACGGCCACCTGGTAGCAGAACTAACGATTCAAAATACAGCAATCCAAACTCAGATGATCTTTGCAGAAATTGGATTTTACTAATTTGTGTTATGTACAAGAAATTAAAATGAATGGTGTTGGCCAATATTATTTAAAGCTAATCTTTGAGCCGAAAAGAAGTGATGATGAATGCGGGACGCATACTCGAACCCTATTCGCTCCCAATCGCTACGTTACTCTAAAGGACATCTTAATCTAATTCAATTCGTTTTAATTAATAGTGTGCTTTCATGTTGCAAACATGGTTTGATAAGATTGCGCCTTGTACCTAATTTGAGCACTCCACAAGTTGTGTGACAATTTGCGCCATTTCACCCATGCTTTGTTTCCAAAAGGTGTTTCATGATCTTAAAGCTGTCTTCTCTCCTTAAGTAGGTAAAAATTTGCGAAAGTAGGTGGTTGTACCTCTCTAGAATTTTAGATATTGGTACTGTTTGTTTAGTTCTTTTTTTGAAAGCACAAATTGCCATCCATCATGAGTTGGTTTGCATAGTACTATACGAATAAACAAGAACTAGTCGACCCTAGCTTAGTTATACTTTAAAGTACTAGTCTTCAGTGTTAATCCAAATCAAGTGGAGTTTTCCGATTGTCAATAAGATTTTTTTACCTGAGTATGATAAATCCTTGGCTGATGTAAATAGACTGTATTTCATTTTTGTTATTTATCATAGCGGTGACTAAAAGATATGGGTCCTATTTCGAAAATGCAAAGCACTGAAATGATTTAACGTATTTGTCAGTTCGTTTTTCTGCGCTAGTAGAGCAAATATTTGCCATAACACCGGCAAAATATCGTAGTGCAATCCGCCATTCGAGAGGGGAATCAAAGCTCTAGGTACGGTTAACTAACCGAAATTAACAAAAAAACCGCAATGCCACCTCGATTCCTTTTTCACAAACATGCTTAAAAGCACTTAAAAGAAAATAATTGTGCATTCTCCAAGACCCTTGATGAGTAACACTTTTTAGCAATATTTGGATGTATCAACGTACTTTCTGCAAGTAGTTTTGATGTAAAATTCCAAAAATTTCACCCAATGTAAGAGGTTCTAAGCATGCAAACGAGCTTTTCAGCTTAAAGGTTTACATTCTATTGGAACTTATCATTTGCAATCGCAATTCAGGGATGTGAAGGAATGCGGTCATGATATTCATAATTTGCATAGTCTTTTAAAGCAGCTAGTGAGGAACACTTCATTTGTGAAATTTGCGAGTCGAGGCCTAGAAGCACTAATACGCTGTTACTTTATCTAAATTTTGCAGGTGTCTTTGTATGTCCAAAACTTAGGTTAGCCGAAGCGACGAGGATGCATTTGTCATAGTCAAGATGCAAATCCGCAATTTTTAGGGCCAATTGTGCAAATTGACTTATATTATTCGGTGAGCTATGCGAAAATACTTCACCCTCCGTTCCTACTGTGGCAAATCTGATGCCATATGCATGACCATTGCTGGCAGTCTACTTAACGCAGAAGCAGCATGCACTGAAGCATCGAACTGGCGTCAGTAATCCAAGTGTTCTACTCGGTGAAATTCTCCCCTAAATATTTTTGAAAGATTCCAGTGCGTTTGATTGCAAGCCTCCTAATACGGCACAATCACAGTTCATGGGTTATTTCACCTAGGTAAGGTTATCTCTGGCTCGAATCAATGGCTTATGATCCTCCACGCTTACATTTTAAGAGAAAAATGCGATCTCACACACTCATCTGCAGCTGTGCTTAAGCTGTAGCGCCTTCGCCTTTAAGCGTGTTTGCAACTTTACTGTGAAGTTAGACAGTCATTAATCATGTTTAAATTTCTGAAATAGTTTTTACATTTATAGAAACCTTAGGTTACATTTTAAAGAAGAAGTAGACCATATTTAAAATGGATCAACATTTGCAGGACTCTGCGTGGTTTTCATGAATAAATTCTTGTAATAACAAATTTCCCAAAACGTGGGCAGTGTAGAATCGGGGGTGACAAATTTCATGGTTCATGACTTTGAGTAGCCAGTTGCAGAGGGCAACTTACCGTAATTTAAGTGCAAATGGTATTAAAATGTCACCAACTCGTTGACGATGTTTATATTATTGCGCAAAAAGGCAACAGCCACATCTGCCAATTTATCAGGAGAATATGTTATAACTATTTTATCTATGTGATATGTAGTCCACACTTCAATAAGTAGTTGATGTATGAGCCTCATTTAAATGTTAACAAATCGGTGGTTAGTCGAGTGGCCAAAGTCAAAACCATATCAGATGCACTGCATCCTATCAACGCCTTGGGATTTACGGAAGCGTTTGTCTGACTGTGGCGTTTGCTAAAACATAGTAAAACAATCTACTTTATAACTACCACGGTAAAGTATAGCACATCTTCGTCTATTTTTACAAGGTAGGTTAGCTCGTTAGCACAAAAAAACTGAAGGGTGGCTAAAATAAATCATTTTCCTGATTGTTTTAACAATTTTAACTATCGTGAGAATTTGAAAATGTTGAAACAATCCGCCAGGCTGTATATTTATAATTCCGTTGAAGAAGATGAATAATTTTTAAGGTGTTTTTGGGCATTTGCCTTTAATTATTTGAACTATGCGTCACAATTTACGAATTAAGGAATATGCGACATTTGTTAATATGGAACCATAAAACCTATTCAGTATGGCCATCGAAGTCTTGGTAGCAAGGTTCCTTACTGTGACGTGAAACAACATAGTGATTTTTGTGTTATGGAGCTGTTTTGCAGTCTACGAACAAAATAATCCATTAGTATTCATCCACAAGGCCAAATGCGCCTTCTTCTTAAACACTACTTTGTGGAGCGCTTTAAATGAGCCCGAATTGCCGTACATAAATGGAGACTATCACTTGTTTATGCAGATATTGACTAATCCTTTTCTTTGGTGGCGAAATTTACCCCTCATGTTTCACATTAGTTTTGCCATCGCTAGATAGTGCATGTTTATTCTCCCGATCAAAAAGTTCACTTTCCACAACCCGAAGCCAATGTCCTTACACAACAGTCGTAAATGGCTGTTTTTGTGATTTTCTCTTAGCAACTAAACGTTGATTTTTCTTCTATAATACGACATACTTCGCTTCAGATTCTCCACACTGCGTGTATAAACGGAAGTAAAGTAGCTTCAGTATGCACACAGAACTGATTCACGATCATGACCATCGGGCAATAGTAAAGATGTTGAGCCTCATAAAACTTCCTTAAAACCAGAATTTAAACAACTGCTTTTATTTTTTTAAGGCCCACATCTTAAGATCGATAGTAGTTGAATTCCAGAAGGTGGAAAATGGTATCAGTCTCTAAGCACTTAAGACACTTTTAGAAAATTAACGTCGCCACTTTTCTTCCCCACAATATTTTCTATATAATTGACTGACTGGGTTTCAAAGTATATCTACGCTTCGTCAATTGCTCAAGCGCGCGCTCTCAAGCCTGGCCATAACGTGTGAAAGTGGCATTCTCTTCGGCCACGTGAGAGTAGCGAAAGCAGCAGAAACAAATGAGGGTAGACAGGATGAGACATAAACGGAAGGAGGAAAGCTAGGTTGAGTACAATACTAGCAGTTCAATATAGATTAATGCATTCCACTTGATCCTTTCTATCTCTCCTCCCACTTCTTTCTTGCTAACGAAAGTAGTTGCATCAATATAAAGTAGTATATTTGATCTCGTCGCATTTTATTGCCTCGAAAACCGGTTCAACAGTATCCATGATCGATTCTCTAATCATCCCAAAACACACTGTTAGGGGTTTACTGAAAAATTTATTACAATGACATGTCGAAGTTGTTTTATATGCCTCTAGAGAAGGAAATCTATCAAATTCTCCATTACCATTGCATGTATACAAAACCTCAATTTTTTTGTTAGACCTCAGAGTCACGACTTCGTGACACGTGTGTTTTGTCAATCTATGATAAATAGGTGAAAAAAATCAGGCTGCTAACAGATTGGTTCAGCTTAGTCAAAAATTTACAACATCTGATTGCCTTTGGATGGCGGCTAAATCAGTCAGAAGCACACGGAAGTTAATATCTTACAAAAACATGCGAGACCTGGTCTTCAGCGGTTGATTTCTTTGTGAGCCCTTCGTATTAAAGCAATACGAAGGTTAAGCAAATGCAAAAATGCGTATTTACTTCTCATAAAGCTGGAAAGAATTCAGCTTTTACAAATTAAAACCTACGTATGAGTTGAAACGTAAGAAGGCATAACTTTTTGTAGAAGTTTTCCTTGAATCAACTAATTATATACTTTATTCTACAGAGGATTCGGTTTTGTGACATTTGTTGACCCAAGTGTGGTTGAAAACGTTCTGAATGACGCTCCTCACATGCTTGATTCGAAGCGGGTACGCTCTCCAGTTTATTAAACTGCTCTATTTGAATTTTACAAATCCGCTCAAACAAATCATGAATCAGTGTACATCACCATATCTCCCATGCTTAATTCAAAGGGGTGTTGCGAGCCACTACTTTTTCTCTGCAAAGTAGAGGGTATATACTTCAGCCATGGATTAATTCTTTAGTATTTTCAGCTTTAAAAATTCTGCAACATGCCCAATCAGTGCCGATTAACGACCCCATGTGCCTTCAGTTATATTCATTCAGCATTGAAATAAACTCATTCACTTAATTTAAGCAGTCCAGATTTTTTGAACATTAACAGAGTAAGTTGCAAAACTATTTTTAGGTCATAGTAACTGCTACACTCTAATTTAAAAGACATCTTGACTAGTGATATTAATCTTGTCATAAATAATGGTGCTGCCAGCCCCACGCAGAAGTAAATAGAGAGAACCGTTCAAGCGTTTGCCTTTCTACACTGATATATGACTGTTTGAAATATGGTATTACTGTCTAAACGGAATCTCCTACTTTTATGCATACATTCGCAACCGGTAAAATTTTATATTAATTTTACTGTTCTATTTTAAGTAATCAGTCAAAGCCAGAGACAACTTTGTTTGGTCTTATTTATCTGAAATACAATTAATATTCGAAATAGATATGCATTCGTCATGACTCCATTTTACCTTCATGGATTATTTTTATTTAAAACTATATTTTGCTCTGTTCATCCGCTTCACTTTTGTCTATTTTTGTGGCGATTTTAGATGGGCGAGTTTTTCGTTCCTTTTTTTAGAGGGGCTGGCTCAGGTCACGCCCTTTTCCGTTGTTATCACAGTCTTTGTTGGACTCAAATGCTAACTAGTACAAACGGACAACGAAATGACTGTTACCCTGGCAACAATTAGCCGAATATATGGTAGATATTGGTATTCATGCACTTAGATTTGAGTCTTTTAAGGGCTTGACTAATAAAAAACTAGAAAATCGGGTCTAAAATCAAATGGCAAGTAACCAGCCTAATTTGGTGGCACACCTGCATGCCTAGTGAAGAAATGCTTGTTGCGTACGTTGCGATGTTAGTTGTTGTTCCGGTGCTTTAAATAATTTAGGTCCGGATCAAAGAGCGCACAACATTACCTAATATATATATTCTTCAAACTGCAGATAGAGCCAAAGATTGCGGTTCCGAAGCAGGCAGCGTTAAAAGCAATAACGAATGTAAGTCACTTTCAGAAAGCTTTCTACCAGGCTAGGTTGATTTTTTTTTACATACTGACTGGCCCTGTGTGGCGATTTGTTTTTATAAATCGGTGCCGCTTACTAGCGACCGCGTTTGTACGCAAGTGGATTCTGGTTTATTTAGGTTACGCATAATTGCATTAATGCCCATTATAGCTGAGTAACAGTTTGCTCACTCATTTGCGCTGATCATTCCAATGAATTCGAAATCAAGTGCCATTGTTAAAGTCAGTAAATGTTTAGCGGTATAAAATTTTGTGCCATCAATGAAATGCCAGCTACACTGATGGGTCTGAGCTGAACTTTCTTACAAAAATTAATTTTGTCGATAATTCCTAGCGCAAGAGTGCAGAAAACCACCAGTCACCCGCAGTTATGCTTTGAGGCTCGTGTATTAGGGCGCATTCAACAATAACCAATCGGATGGACAGAGGCACACACACGCACCGTGACCTGACCCTCAGGCGCCGTGATCGCATTCGATTCGTCGTGTCACGCTCGCTATCACGCTCGCACGAACAAATCAATCTACGTGACCTCAGTGGCTTAAAAACGATGGATAGATAGTGTTACCTTGATTTGTACGTTAGGCGTGGATAGGAGCGTTGCGTATAAAATCGAGGCAGTTAGTTCTGGTTCCCGAAGGAAATGAACTCATTAACTGACTCAAATGAAAAAAATACTGGCGTTAAACGAAGAATTGATGGTGCTCCTGTTAACACATTCTTAAACACTTCAACAATGAATGCCACATTGATCGCGACTCAGGCTCTATTGCGGACAAAAAAGGTCTTCATTGGTGGAGTCTCTACATCAACAACAGCAGATGATCTGAGAGTCTTTTTCTCTACGTACGGAGACGTGAGTGCTTGTTGTGTGATTTCCAATTCATGTAGTAATTCTATCGGAATTGTTTCTAAAGTGATAATTATATATTTTTTGTGCAGGCCAAAACAGTCTCATGGTAATTCATTTTGCAAATGTGGATTTATTAGATTAGAGTAGTCAGCTTATTTTGTACCTCTAATTGTCATGTAGTTCAGGATACTAGTTATTCGTGTTCATGTCCACATCTTGAAACTGCTGTTTCAACTAAACGCACATCTTCAAATACGATGGTCACTTCACCACTCAAGTTCGTATTTGCATGTTATAGTTTTGAACAATCCAATGCCTAAACATGTAGCAGCGTGTAGAATTTTATTATAATTAGCAAGTCATTGAGCTATTCCTCCTGTGTTGCCGAAGCAAATTCGAGGATAACTGAAAAGCTTACTACGAACTTGTAAGAACGGGTAGGTTAAATTACGATTCGCATGTTTATTAGGGAGCACTTACTGCAAAGTTCCGGGGTTCTAAGATACTTTTCAAAAAGCTTTCACTTAATACTTTTACAATTTGAGAAGTAGTCAACTCATAACAGCGATTTTGCAATATTCATTTTTCAATGCTTCTATCGCTTGCATTCTACTGTTACTGGTAACAGAATTGCACGTAAAATGGGTTAGTTTCATAGCATTCAAAAAAAACGAAGGCGTGTATTTAAAACATCGTTAAGAAATCACGAAGTTAAACCAAAAGTTAACATTTTCTCATGGACTCGTGTCAAGACAATTCTATTTTGGCAAATTATTTGATTCGGATTTTTTCCTTACTACTGTTAACATGTATTGACTGTACGATGTGTTCCCTGGAGCCAGTCGTTATTATGTGGCTTACCTAATTTTTCTCGAAAAACATATTTACGCAAATATTATACTGATTAGAATAAAATTAACCATCTGCAAAATTTGTCGCTGAGACCGTGCGTAAACATATGTAAATGGAGTGCTGAGCGCCTAGAACACGCAGTGGCCTTGCAGGCGAGAGATGGCACAGAGCGGAGTTGATTCGACAGCATGACATGCGCAGAACGAACCGCTTTCAGCTAACAAAGGTGCTAGCTTCGCTACTTCAAGGCTTGGATGCTGTGGCGTGAGGTGGCCTGGCATCAACTCTTGAAGGTGGGATGATTCAGTGTCGGACTGATCGTGTTTATCATGGCTTAACGTGTCCTAATTTGGTTTGAGCTTGGGTAGCTGTTCAGTCCCAATTGGCCGAATGTGCGAAATGCGCTTTTTAGGGACAAACTAGTGGATAGCATAACTTAACAAAAACTAAGGTAGCCTTAGTATACAAATAGTATGCTATCAGTCGTTGTTCAAACCCCAAATGATTAAGTTCGTTCAACTAAGGTACACCACGAAAGCACAATGTGTACTTAAAACTCGCCTGTGCCTTAATGCACTCTCGCACTGATTTTGCACATCGCGGTCTCTGATTGTAATTTACCTGCTTTCACGCAAAGAACAGACAACATGTCGAATAATTAGGCGTCCAGAGAAATTGCAAAGAAGTGTAGTCACATATAGAGCATGTCAATAGTAAATTGGTGGTTTTACCACAGACAAAGAGTAACCAAGTTAGGTCAGCGAAGGTCGGAATCATAGAAACAACTTCACTTTAATTTGTGCCTCATGAATCCCTAAAAATATGCCACCTAAAGTAACTGCAAAACTATGCACTGCTGGGATCCTGGAGCACTAATCTTCCCTTTTTTAGTTTATTCTATGGTTAATAGAGTATTGCACTCTCTCATCATTTTAAGCAAGAGTATATAGCCGCTTTAGATCTATCCTGACAGACGTGGTGTTTCGAGCAAATATCCACGAAATTCTTACGCATTAGCATTGTTTAGACGCGGAAACTTTTCTCATTTTCCTTGATTTAGAAATATTAGACTGATCAGTTCGGTATGCGCTTGCAAATCTTTCCTTTTATTAATAGATAAAAGCTGTCTCACATTTATTTAGTTCAGTAAATACCACAGGAGAAAGACAAGTTAACTACACTATATCCTCATTATTGCCAGTCGTGCATGAAAGAGTAGTGAAAGTAGTACTAGTTTCAGCTTCATCGCCAATTAATGGTTTTGTAGATTGACTCTTGCGAACTGATGTTCGATAGGGCAACGAACCGCTCAAGAGGTGAGCATCTTGAACCTTCATGCTTGACATGATGTGGTCAATGTGTGTGCAGTATTTATCATTTTTTCACTCTGACTTGTAGGCTTTGCCTTCATCACTTTTGCAAGTGAATCTGCAGCTGATATAGTTTGCCAAAAACAGTTTCATACCGTGAATAACAAAAAGGTGGGTTTGCGAACTAAATCTGCGAATACTTTGGAATATTTTGAGCTAATTTTTTCATTTAGGTGGAAGTGAAGAAAGCCGTTCCAAAAGAAGTTATGAGCAATACCAATACACTACTCAGGCAGCGGCAGTATGCGGTACAAAATATGCGTACGTTTCGGATATTTGCTATCCCCTTTTTATCAACGTCTATCAGATGTGCTCGAGAAACTATTTGTAGTTAGTTGCCATCCTCTACAAAAGTAGCTCAAAACATGGGGATCACGGATGTGAACTTCAAAGATGACCGACTATTTGCATCATTTGAAACGACGAAAGTGAATGCCTTAAAAAGATTGTGATTAATTATGATAAAACATGGAAATCACCTTATTTTTTTACTTCTGTTTCCAATATGGTATCATTTAGTAGTGCTTTCGAAAGCAATATCTCAGCAGAGAGTACTATTTGCACATTAAAATATTAAACCATTAATCTTCCCATAAATATTCCAGTTTTTAGCAACACATTATTACTTATTGCTCAGCAATGTTGGTGTCCGATTTTTAAAAGAATACCGTTGAGAACGGAACAAGTATTTGCATTTAATTGTGTGTATATCTCTAGCTAGTTAAAAATAGCCAACAGAGCGACTTTCAAAGCCGGAAATTATGCCACTTTTGATACACCACAAACTCGTCCGCTATGCTCTTAAACTGCACTCTGTCTTGTAGCCCTGCCTACGGCGAACCATCATACCGCAGTCACAGGAACTGGGCCGAGCACAAGTCACTACGTGGGTGCGGGAACTACTGCTGCCTTAGGCAATGCTTCGAGCATTCAGGCATCTACGGCTTCTGCACTGACGGTGCCCCAAATGTTAACAATGTTCAATGCTTTCCAACCAAAGGCACAACAACAGCAGCAACAACCAAGACTCAATGCTCCCAACCCTTTGCTCTCTGCGCCTCTCCAATCTGCTGTTACACCGTTCCAGAATTTTAATTACCTACTCCCGTTCAACTATCAAAATGGTAGGCTTACCCCGGTTTCTACATTCACTGTAATACTACTACTATCAAAAGACTTCAAGAGCATTTCGTTCAAAGTAAAGGAATTAATCTTCAACAGATAATAAGGTGATTATTATGAAGTAAAATGAACTTCTTTGATCACCTCTTAAAAGTTTATGGATGCCTTCTTTAAAAATTCCTCACCTTACATTCGCTGCTTTCACTCCAGTTTCATCATGAGGTTAAAGTGGAGTGAAAGTTGTATTCTGAAGCACAGATAGTCACGGCGGTGTGAGTTAAGTACACATGTCCATTTGAGCCTAAGGGATTGATCTAATTTTACAATAAATTTATAGGACTTTAGAGAGTGGTTCAGTAATACACATTTATCAACATTTTGACCAGCCAAAAGACGTATATGGTGAACATTACGATAGTTGTCCTTAATAATAAACGTAGGTGAAGGCGGATAACATGTATTCAAGGGTCGCGTATTTTTACGAGGGAGACAGACAAGGACGGGAACTACTGCTAGAAGTTTATGGCCAAATGGATAACAGAAAAGGATAACGGGATCATTTCACTAAAAATAACGTATTTTGTTGCAGTAGAACTGGAATGGCTTCGTAACAAAACGTAAGCAACAAAAAGATTTTATTTGAAGTTTAAATTGCCGCGGTGTGTTTTATTAACATCGCTTATATACTTTGCATCGCCAAGCATTTCGGTGCACAGATGTGCATGCTCGCCTTATCTTGACCAGAAGGCAGTGAGACTAATCTCCCTAACCATGGTAGGCGATTTTCCCCCTTGAACATTCACATATGTCATACAAGATTTTGGCGCCACCGTCAACTGCAGATGATTCCACACAAGGCGCTTTAAGTGCCTCGAGCCCAATTGCTACCATCAAAATTGGACTTGCCTAGAGGTGGTTATAGGTTCTTCTTAAAAGCGCACATGCAAAATTTAGGACATAAAAGATTGGTGTCTAAAGGCAAAACCAAATACTTCTGGACGCTTTCAGAGAATTGTTGATTATAGAATTAAAGCAAGCCCATCCATTTAAATTTGCCTCAGGTGTTAATTGTGATTTCTTATCCACTTCTATGTTACTCCCTTGTTAAGACCGCTGGATGGCACGACTGTAACAAAATCCTCTTTTAAACGGCGTTTAAGCATGATCGAGCATTTAAGATGGATGCCCATTTCAGCGGAATGTTGTCATTTTGACATAGGTTCAAAATAAAAGGTCCATAAAAGTGAATTTTTGTTTCTTTTATTGCTAACTTTCTTTTCTTCTCTTTTATTAGATAACAAAAAGCATAATAAATATCTTTGCTTCATTAGAAGCAATGCTTATTTCTTGGAAACCAGGTACTTGATGTAACGATTAAAATTGCATTAGATAAATATGGGTTTTGTCTTCTGCCCTTCGTAATGGTTGGAATTTTAGGAGTACTATGATCGTAAGCCAACTAACTTGAATTTTTAAAATCTAGGTGGCATATTAGCTCAAACAGACGCAGCAAATCTGCCCCCGTGTGCACACCCCACACTGCCTACCTCAAGCATCGCTCCTTATGACTATGCAGCGGCCTTGGGAGCGTCATATTCCAGTCCAACTTCAGCCCTTTCTCCCTTCCCTTCGCGACTTCCACCGTCTTATTCCAATCCAGTCGGATTACCGACGGCACAGCAGACTTTGATCGGCGCTACCGCACCAGCATACGCTCCGACGGGTTTAAACATGGCATCTGCTCTGGAGACCACCTTCTCACAACCTCTGCAAACTATGCAGGCCTACAATGCAGTTGCCGCTGCTGCCGCTGTTGCCTATAACCTTTGCTTTTTACAAGAGCAACACCATCAACAGGCTGCGGTTATGGCCGCTGCGTCAGCTTTGCAGCTGTCGACCTCATCAGTGCCGCCAGTTGCATCGCCATTGTCACCCCCGGGAACAGCAACGCAGCCTCAAAGTGCTGCTTCAGTCAATGGATATGCCGTAAATTCGATGGCGGTTAGTTTTCATCATTTCACTCTTGAATCGAATAAAATCATCAATGTGCTTATGCGAGTTAAGACCATTAAGGAGGACGCACTTAAATTGCATGCGTAAGAGGTGACGTGGTACTTTTTTAACGAAATAAATTGAGCATAACTAGTCTGTATAACATTTGGGTCTAACGAAAGAAATTCACGACTTAATAACAATCGAGAAGTGGTGTTTCTATGTCGCAATATTTGTTTACTATCGTACGGCCGTAAAGGTTGTCAAATTTTAAAGAGAAAACATAGGAATAATTGCCTAGTATTCTAACTCTGCCTTTATATCAGTTGACCTAGCACTCGACAAGATAAAGATTTTGCTAATTAGAATGAAAATGACACGGAACTACTACTGAAGTGTTTCTGAGCGCAATTCGCTATCCCAGCTTCAAAAAAAGGGAACATTTCAATTATTCCGCCTCGTTCATTTCACAATTGCTTCCAAGAGTTGACATATTTATTTATATACAATAATTAGACTACCTTCTAGAAGATAAAACTCCAGGAGGTCAGCACTGTCAAAAGTAGAAGTACGTATTGTTTACTAGAGTAAGTGTAAGATATTTAAACCAATGAGCTGATCGATTTGAATGAAAACTAAAATTGGAAAGAAAAGAACGAATAAGCTTTAAAGCTTACAATAGGATGCACCAAAATGAATTGTTATACAAATTTTGCTTGAGCGCTCCATATCTAAAGATCTCATGTTTACATGATTGTTTTTCCTAATTACAAAGCAACCTGGATGTTTTTGAAAAGAATAAACGCAAAGCAAGCGGTTGTCACTACTGCCTTCAACAGTAATTCTGAGTGCGAAATGATTCGTCACCCGTTTGTGAAGAGACGTGTCGGAGTATAATTGCAGGGGACGGGAATGCTTTGAAACATGGGTGATTGATGCATCAGAGATAATGTGGGAAAAATAACATTTTCTGAAATAGGTGCTAAGTATTACTAAACGTTTGAGTCCAATCGGTGTGACACCTGGGCGTGGTATTAGATTTCCTTGAATTGTACTAAATTCAGCATAGCAGCATAATGATTCATTATTAGTCCTAAAATACCGCGACCTATTTATAAGAAAAAAATGATGTTGCCTTTTTTGATTTGGTAGGTGTTTGCTATTGTTTCATTTCTTCGTCATTGTAATGCGGCACCGTAAAGTGAAAGTAAATCTATTTGTTCTGAGGCAATTCAGTCATATTAATGTGGAGTGATGAATGAAAGGCCTTTTTATTTACAGAACCGGCAGCGAATTATCATACAGCAAACGCCTCAGTCCAGTAACAGGCCCACTGGTCCGATGGCACCACTTCAGCCTACGCAAGACATAAACTCATCCGAACAGACAACCACATCGCAGTCAAATGCCACTGCTGCGGACGCTAACTCAGGCCTCTATATAATGCCTGCGAAAGTTCCTAGGTAAGTTTTGAGCTTGAATGTAGAAAGTCAAAGTGCCCAGTTTCAAGCAATACTATAGAAACGTATCATTTATGCAATGCGCTAGAAATCAAGTTCCCATGTACTAGACTTCTATTCCAAGAATCAAAACCCTTAGCTCTGCCATAAAGTGCCACTTTGCAAAAGCATTGGTGGAAGTTTGGTTGAGCACAATGTCATATCACACAGCAATGGAGACCCTTAGAGAATGTTAAATCTAATGCTTCATTGGTGATAAGGTTGAACTTTACGATACCTTATTTAGGGAAAATTATGCACCTTTTGAAGTTCAGATGTGGTAAGTTTATTTCAGTTATTCATCAGATGTCGTTAATTTCCATTAGCCTCCGCGTATTCTCATTAAAAAAATTTCACAGACCTATCATTCCACTCTATTATCAATGGCATGTCATTCAATTTTTGCACAGTGAATTCGGGCTGTTTAACAAGCATGTCAATCCCAATCATTTTCTCACTACCAAAATCCATAGGTTCATTAGTTTGCACCATTTCAAATTGATGTTGTCCCTGACTTCGTACCTGTAAATCACACTGTTTGGCTTCGTATGCAGGCTTATAGTTAATTTCCTAATGTTGTTTGACCTTGATTCTTCAACTGCTTTTTTAACCCTTTTAGGACGCAGTAGCACTTCGGCGCATCCAAGATTACTGGTCTTTCAAGTACTCGTGAGCTCATTTGCTTCGATATATGGGATTACCTACTCAGTATTATCCACTTGTTATAGTTCTTTCCTAATCCTTTTGAGATTGACCAAACATATCTTCTTTTACAAAACATGATATTTATGATGATAGTATGCATGTTTTACTCAGGAGTTATCGACATCCGAAAGTAGATTCACTTCAATAGATAAAGTGGTAGCAAACTAACAAAAATTGATTCATTAGGTTCGTTCATAAAGTTTTAACGTAAATAGACAGGTAAATTTCGAAGTTGAATTTAGTAGCTGCGCAGTAGGCAAGAGTTTGTCCAACTATGCTCGCTA